CCCCCGTCACCCTCCCTCACCCTCCCTCGCCCCGTCACCCCCGCCCTCCTCCCCTCCCCCGTCACTCGCCCCGTCCCCCTCCCTCGCCCCCGTCACCCCCTCCCTCGCCCCGTCACCCCCTCCCTCGCCCCTCCTCGCCCGTCACCCCCCCCTCGCCCCGTCACCCCTCCCGCCCCGTCACCCCTCCCTCGCCCCGTCACCCCCTCGCCCGTCACCCTCCCTCCTCGCTCCGTCACCCCTCCTCGCCCCGTCACCCCTCCCTCCCGTCCCCCCGCCCGTCACCCCCTCCCTCGCCCCGTCACCCCTCCCTCGCCCCGTCACCCCCTCCCTCGCCCCGTCACCCCCTCCCTCGCCCCGTCACCCCCTCCCTCGCCCCCGTCACCCCCTCCCTCGCCCGCCTCCGTCACCCACTCCCTCGCCCGACTCCGTCACCCCCTCCCTCGCCCCGTCACCCCCTCCCTCGCCCCGTCACCCCCTCCCTCGCCGGCCCCGCCACCCCATCATATTATCGACCGTTATCGACCCGCCCACTCCTTATTCCCTCAGACTCACCGACTCTGGTTATCCGCCTCCACATCAGGTTTGATTCCCGGTTGACCTTCCTCTCCCAGATCCGCTCCCTGACCAGGACACCTTCCTCCACCTCTGTCACATTGCCCGTCTCCGACTGAACCTCACACCCAATGCAGCCAACACCCTCCTCCGCAGTTTTTTTTTTTTTTGCACAGTTTCTCCGATTGTCCTCCTCAATGGTCTCCCCAGAAATGTCAGAATGGAGCCGAAGCTTCAAGGAAGCAAATCCAGTCCCTGAGCCAGGACGGTCCGCAGTATCCCAGCACAGCACAGCACAGCACAGCACAGCCTGGCTCATCAGCAGGACTTGGAAGGGCGAACCTGTCACTAGGGACAGGGATTATTCCCACTCAAGCTCCTGTTAACCCTACAAGCCAAAGGTGGTCCTAACTGGACCACCAGCAGGAAAGTTTGCCAGACAGGGCTTTCAATGGCGAGCTGTGCAGGTTTACCTGGTTAGATTTCAGCAGTTTCCCCAACGCAGACTCTGGGGGTTCCCAAGGCTTGGAACTTGCCAACCTGCGCCCAACGTCAGCCCCTTTGAACTTGTGCAGTCTGCGTTAGCGCTATGCAGTGCTGGGGATGTGGTGCTTTGTCAGAGATACCGTTCTTTGTATGAGATATTAAGCTGAGGTCCCATCTCCCTGTTCAGGTGGATGTTCAGGATCCCGTGGGATGGGAGTTTTTTTCCCGTGGCCAACAATCCCCCAAATAAAATTGGTCAATCAATCTGCGGCTGTTTGCGAGTCATTGCCGGATGCAAATGGGACGCCACGTTCGCCGCAAGTACACAGTCACTCCACCTTTCAGTAAATCCCACAGAGCACCTTGAGCCGTCCTCCTGATGTGAAAGGGGTTATACCAAGTGCAAAGATGATTTTTCTTCCAGATTCTTAATTGCTTTTCAGCGAACACCATGTAATTCCAGCTCTGTGAGCTTCTTCATTTTATTGAGCCAAGAGTTTTTGTTGTAATAACATTCCCGGATGCTTAAAAAAGTGAAGCAGAAGTTGTGGTTCATCTTTACTGGTTCTTGATACACTGGAACTGATATACTGTAGTATAAGGACACTCTCGTTGGACACTCCGATGCAGCATTGTTGGGAGGTGACATCTTCGAATGAGACATTAAACCAATAAACTTCACAGTATATCACTGGTCGGGTGAGTCAGTTCTGGAGAGCATCGCTTTAAGATAGTAAATTAGTACACGGGGCGGGTCGGAGAATTTGTTTTCTGCACAGAATAGTTAGGGTATGGAATGCTTTGATTGAGGGGAGTGATTGAGGCCTTCAAGAAGTAACTAACTAAATAGCTAAAGAAGTGTTATCTATAAGGTTGTGGGGAAAGGGCAGGTAAATGGGACTGAAAGGATTGCGCTTGAGGGAGTCGCGATGGGCTGAATGACTGGTGCTGTAACTTTCTATGGTTTTAATTGTCAAGTGCAAGGATTGCTGTTGTCTATAAGGCTATCGGGGGACGCTGTTCTGGTACAATTAACATATGCTGTACTTTGCAGCCTGTGAAGAGAGAACAGCGGGCAGTTGTGAAGAAAACAGATGACTCTATTCTTTGTGAAAAAAATACACAGAATTTGACCAGAAGACACTCTTTGATCATGATTTTCGACACCTGGGTGTCCGACGCATGAGGAAATCCGTCACCACGCTTAAGAGTATCTGTTTTGTTTTGTCCACAAAATATACAGTCAATTTGCTTATCGGGTCTTCTAGACATCTCGAAGCGCTTCAGGGAATATACTGTAAGTGAATTGACTGTGTATTTTGTGGGCAAAACTCGGCAGCCAATTGCGCGCAGCAGTGTCCCACAAACAGTCGTGGATTGAGTGATAAATTTATTATTTAAAAAATACATATTATATAATATATTTTTGAAGGGATTATTACCCCTGTGTGTTGTCTAATGGTTTGCATTGCCTGGGAATCAAACCTCAGGTCCTCTTGCTTGCGAGGCAATTGCTCTGACCAATATGCTACAGAACTTCACGCTACAGGAGTTAATAATAATCCCTACGTTTGATATAGCATATTTCTCGACAAGCGGATGTCATAAAGCGCTTCACCGAGTTACTGTAAAGTATAGAGACTGTATTATTTATAGGCAAAAGTATTAAACCTGCACCTGATACAAGAACCAGTGTCAAATTGGCACAGCTGGTAAGATATTTGATGTGATAAGGTGTTAAGTGTATTTCCTTAAGTGTATTTCTGAGCATGTTGTTTGGAAGGGAAAGGAGTGAGAGAGGAAAGAAAGTTGCCTAATATCAGCTAAATGAACAATTTTGGATTTACTTCTATGTCACTTGTACTGTAAGATGGTAAATAAAACAGATCTCTGATTGTGTCCGATTAATTTGCTTAAAGATAATGACCGCTAAAACAATCTATATATAACCTTGAAGGCAGGAGGGAAAAAACATGCTGTTCACATTTAATGAACCTTTTTTTATGAACCTGAAACATTTGTTGAGGACATTTTTATTCACTTTTTACACAGGCCCACTTTGGTGGTCATTTAGTTCTTTCTGTTGGGGCCTTCATAAGGCAGTGGAAAACAGGCCAATGGTTTAAAGCTGTGAATAAGGGGCTCCTGATACTTCACACGTGTTTGAAGACGACTTGCGTACTGATGCCCACAGCTGAAAGGAGCACCACTGGTCAGCATTCAGTCAAGTACAACTGGGAAAGTGATCCTGACAGGCTTCCAGTTTGGGAAATAAAACAGTACAATGCATCCAATTTAATTGTTTACGACACAATCTCGTTGTTAACCCCCTTGACTCAATTGATATAAAACGGACATATTTCTTCCCTCTCTTCCTCCCCCTCCCCTCCCCACATTGTCCCACAGCAAAAAGTGTAGTTCGTCTAATTTGACCAAATTGTAAGAATTCTCACTTTTAATTGGATTGCTCCATACATTTCATTCACTTGGTTTGATTTAACTTAAACGACAACCTGCTGTAAAGTTGCGAGAGTTGCTGCTACAGCGCGGCATTCAGTCAAATACAACTGAGAAAGAGCTCACTGAGTAGCAGTGGGAGCTGGGGTGGTGTCTGACCATAATAATAATAATCCTTGCATTTGATATAGCGCCTTATCAAATCATTGAGACGTCTCAAAGCGCTTCTCAGAATATACTGTAAAGTGAATTGCTTGTATATATTTTTGTTGGCAAAACACGGCAGCCAATTACACAGAGCAGTGTCCCACGAACCGTCGTGGATTGAAATGACCAAATAATTTTCCCCTGATTTCTTCCTTCTTGGTCCGCTGAGGCTAACGGTGTGGCACCACATTGTTTGCTGAAGTTTTCGATCCGTTAACTCAGCACCAACCGAGATTGGACCCTTGCAACTTTCCAGTCTGCATGGATTTGTGTTGGACCCAGCAGTGCCCTTACCCACTGGGGAGCAAGGTGCTGTCGTTTATACATGATAAACAATCACTTAGTCTTGTTTTTTTTCAGGCAAAACTGGATTCGGGAGTCCTTCTTCTCAGCACACACAGACTAATCTGGAGAGAGCAAAAAAATCACGTATGTTTCTTCCAGGCAGCTTGGGTTTCTGGTCCTTTTACGTGGCTGTTTATGAGGGGATCTCACACTGTTATTTGGGGGTATCCTTTACAAAAGCATTAGGCCTCAAGTATCTTTAAAATCTTCTGGCTCAATTTTATTCCTAAGCGTTTCCACGTGTTGTAGTTCTATGTATGCCCTGGCACCTCCCTACCTCTCCAATCTGCTTACTCCCCAACACACTACCTCCACTCTACTGGCTCCCGCCTCCTCTTGTCCTTTGTGCCCTTCTTTCTATCTTTGGCGACCACACTTTCAGCCTTTACGCTCCAAAACTCTGGACCACTCTCCCTCAATCCCTCCTCCTTTACCCCCCACTCCCCATTCCCCAATTTCAGGTCACCTCCCGCTCGGTGTCGTGCTCTACCACTGTCAAGCGCTCTGAGACGCTACCCTGTGTGAGGGGCACTATATAAATGCAAGTTGTTGTTGTGTTGTTGATGGATTTATCCACTGAACCAGTGCCCTCTGTTGCTCCTGCAGGATTGCTGCATCTGTCTACCTTTGTCACAGATCATCTTTTTTGAGGAGCAGGCAGCGGGAATAGGAAAAAGGTGAGACTCTGACATGATTATCACTGAGCGTTTACAGCCAGAGGGAGGCCATTCGGCCCATTGTGTACATGTTAGTTCTCAAAGGAGTAGCAGACACTACAGTGTGTGTATACTGTGGGACTCCACTCTCTGAATTCCTTTCCATGCAGTGACTCAAAGCTCAGGCTTAAGTCCAGTCAACCTCTTCATTTCCTAGTTTTTAGGAGTACGGTAGATGATAACAGTATTAACAGGATCCTCCTTCCTAATAACTGAATTACTAACATTACTGCCCAACATGAACCTGAGCTGTATAGGCAGCAAGACCTTAAACCCTAAAGATCCCAGTGTGTTCCTAGTTAGTTGATCTAATAATAATAATGAAAATATTTCTTGCATTTGATATAGCAACTTTCACATCAGAAGGACATCCCAAAGCAATTCACAGGATATTACTGTAAAGTGGAGTAACTGTGTACTTGGAGGTGAAGGCAGTAGCCAATTTGTGCCCAGGAATGTCCCAAGTGAACAGCAATTTTATTTGCGGGTTTGTTGGCCAGGACACAGGGAGAAATGTGCCTTTCTTTTTGAATACTGCCATGGGATCTTTAACATTCAATGCTAATCAGCTGCCACATAACGCCTAAAAAAATACGGTCACTACAATCTACAGTGAATCCGTAAAACACTTTGAGACATCCTCTCAACATGAAAAGCACAATATCAAATGCAAGAATTATTATCATTGAATTTTTGAACTTATTGTTTCTCATTTCGGTTTTTATTTTTTCTTCTAAATTCCACACATTTCTGTGAATTGCTGCGAACTACAGCAATTTCAGTACTCATCAGATAATTTAAATAATAGAAACGTTCTGTACTAGAAAGGACTGCGTGATGGTGTTTGTGTGTATTTTGGCAGTGGATGGGATTAAATGTTTGTTTTGATAGGAAGAGTGTGCTCCAGCAAATGTTTTACGGTCATTAATGAATGAGTTTATTGTTCTACCGGGACTGATAGCCTGTCTTTTGGCAGTCCATCTATTGGCTTTCCTGAATTAACGATCTTTTTGGCCCGGAAAAGGGAGAGGAGATCATGGAAGGACAGTAAAACTTGCCATCCCGCGCTTGAGAGCACGGCATCCCGTCATTTTTGTTATTTATGTCTGGAATTTGCTCCCGTTCTCAGCACGGTCAGCAATAATAGCCTTGCGAACACGACGCCCTGATCATTCCGTGATTTGACAAGAATCAGGATTTTCCTGTGAAGTGTAGTGACAGTAATTGTAGGCAAATACCCCATTACAGTGGAACCCCATTTTAACGTGCTTTGTTACAATGTGATTGGGGTGTGGACCCCGACATTTACTTACCCAAACTGCAACGCGCCTGCAGAAAGTCCGCCGGGTTGATTGAAAATCGCTTCCGGCTTCTGGCACGCAAGGTCACCGCTCTGCACAGGAAATGACCTGCGCAGTGACCCGATGACTTGGAATTCGGCCATTTGGGCTTTCTCTACGCTCGAACTTCTGAGTCATCAGGTCACCACTGACATCACTTCCTGCACACAACCTGACGGCTGGCGAGCTTCTTGCGCACCTGCATAGGGAATGCAGAGCACTGACTGGGGATCATACCCTGTTATAATAATAATAATTCTTGCATTTTGCATACAGTGCCTTTTCACTTCATTGGAATGCCTCAAAGTGTAGCGACTGTGCATTTTGTAGGGCCCGATGTTTCGCACAGCAAAGTGAACAACCAATTATATCAGGCCAAGACATCAGAGGAAACAGGCTTCTCTATTTGATTATTGTGGGTTTTTTCACATGTGTCAGAACAGGCAGGTGGAATCAGTGCTCCCCAGCTCTCCACTGGATTATAAAGGGGTATCAGTGAGAGCAGCTGTCTGTGTTCAGGTATTTGTAATACCATGCTTCATTCTTGGCTGAGCGAAGGTCTGATACAATCCCTTTCCCACTGTTCTTCTGTTTGCAGTGCCAAAATTGTGGTTCATCTCCATCCCGTCTCGTCGAACAAAGAACCCGGTCCGTATCAGAGTAGCAAGTATTCTCATATCAAACTTTCCTTCAAGGAGCATGGGCAGATTGAGGTAACTGCAGGGTTTTGTGTTGAACACGTCACTGATGTATTGGCATTTGTCTTTTAAGTATAGGAGAGTTTCACCACCAATTTAACTGGAAGATTCTGAGTTTATCCAAAGGACGGCAGTTTTAACAATGCCGCGCTCTTTCCTCCCTCTTCCCGCCTCACTGTGTTGGAGTATCAACTCAGATTATTCAAAGTCTTGATGCGAGTCTTCAGCCCACAGCCAACTCTCAGTTTATAATAAATGATAATCCTCAGCAAATTGCAAACAGCAGTGTCCCACAAACAGTTGTGGATTGAGTGACCAATTTTATTATAATTATAAGGAATTATTACCCCCGGAAAAGTGATCCACTAATTGACTAACAACTGTAGTCAATTGTCAGAAGACTGTATATACAATGCACATTTATACAATGCCTTTCATGTTGGGAGGACATCTGAAACTGCCTTACCTCGCTGCCTGGGCACTCGTGCTTGGGGTGGTGGGAGCTAAAACCAGGAGGAAAGAGATGACCAAAACACAGTTAAAGAGGCAAATCTTAAGGCAGGCTTTGGAAGTGGGGAGGCAGGGGGCGAGGTAGAGAGACTTCATGATGGAGTTCCACAGAGGTCTCCAAAAAGGAGGGAAATTCACTCATTAATATTGTTCTGTCTTTAAAGTTCTACAGACGGCTGACAGAAGAATTGTCTCAGAAGCGATGGGAGCAGATCACAGTGTCTCAGCCAATGCAGTCAGTGAGTGGATCACAGGTTGTTAATATTTTTTGGGGGAGGTTTTAAAAGGTTTCCTGCGGCAGCAGAAATTCCTTCTAAATCCACTGCACAACATCAAACAATGAGTGCACCAAGTCTAGATTCCAGAGTAAATCATGCTACATTGGCCAAACTATGTTTTAACCTGAAACCTCAGATCACTTGCCGCTTCTGACATAATTAAATTTTTCCACACCAGACAGCCTTGTGGCCTTCCTTTAGTAAAGCTGCCAATTGTGGTCATGTTTTGTGGTCAGGTTAGCCTGACCAAACTCAATTGATTTAATGCAGGTGCAGCTAATAGAGAGAGGCTCAGATTTGACCTGAGATCTGGAAATGAAAAGGCTGTGTATTGTATGTGGACAAGTCCCATACTGTGTAACGATGTGAACAGCTCCTTCAGCAACCCCCCACCCCCACCCCTTCTCCAGGATTGCTTGCACACTGGGCTCAAGACTATTTTATTGGGAGGAGGTTACACTCTCATGGGGAGAGGCGAAAAGTCTGAGAAAACTTTTTATTTCCGTTTGGTAAATGTCTGGTAGATCTCAACAGCTATTATTAAAAGTAACCAACTTCCCTTCCTTGTTCATTTCCTTTGGGACCTTCTACCAGACCTGAGCAGTAGGAAGTCTTGCAAGAGAATGAAGCTTAAAATTGACTGCGTGCAGCACATTTTATTTACGGTGGGACGATAACAGAATTTCCTTTTGTCACAGACGAGAGTGAGGGCAGTCGGGATTGTGGGTATAGAAAGGAAGCTGGAGGAAAAACGAAAGGAGACCGACAAAAACATCTCAGAAGTAAGTCGCTCTAATTGTTCAAGGTCGACCATCCGCTGACAGCATTTCCTCTGAGACGCTGGTGGGATTTTTGTCAGCCTGGCTCAGTTGGTAGTGATCTCGCCTCTGAGTCAGAAGGTTGCAGTTTCAAGCTCCACGACAGGGCTTTGAGCTCATTTGATCTAGGCTGATGCCCTAATGGTGCACTGCTTTGGTGGAGGTGCTGTCCTTTGGATAACCTATTAAAGCGAGGTCTCGTCTGTGTTCAGATGGAGGTTCAGATCCTATTCGAAAAGAGAAGGGAGTTTCTCCCACTGCTGTGGTCTGCAATCCACCAAATATTTTTAAAATTGGCCATTCACTTAACGGCTGTTTGTGGAACATTGCTGTGCACAAGTTGGCTATAGCTTTCGCCTACAAAAATATACAGTCACTACAGTATATCCTGTGAAGCGCTTTGAGACGTCCTCACGACTATACCAAACATAAGGATTATATATAGATTTTCTTAATTGTTAAATACCAGCATAGTTTATAATGTAGGATTTGTCACTAGTACACACTGCTCCAAAAAACTCTTTTTCAAGATGGAATACACAAAGGCTGGTAAAGGTTGTGTGGAGTAAGGAAACTTGCTTAAGATTTTGCTCTGTCTTAACAGTTTCAGTTGATATAGTGAAGGAACTCAGGAGATTCCACTAACATTGATGCAGGACTCACTACTAGAGGCTAACATGGGTCTCATTTAGAGTCAGTTGCAAAACTGCCTACTCTTCTTTCTGTGTTCGCAAACCGTGTTAATTTTAAGAAGGGAGTGGACAGCTTCCCGATGCTTGGTGGAGGATGATTATATTGAATTGCTGACTCCAAGGTGACGTGTTTGGCAACTAGATGTCAAAATCAGATTAACCGTTTTGTGGTGGTCTCAGTCGTCCTGTTCCTGAGCCAGGCTGGTCCACAGCACTCCTGGGCACAGACCAGCCAGGCTGACACATTGACAGGATTCAGAGGAGCAGATAAGTCACTTGGAGCAGAGATTCTTTACACTCATCTCTTGTGAACCCTGCAAATCAAACGGGCTGGGAAGCAGCGGGAAGCTTGCCAGACAGCCTCTCATTGGCAAGCCATACAGTTTTAGCTGGTTGAACTCCAACAGGAACCCATCGCACACCCTGGCCTTGGTTCCTGCCAAACTGTACCTGTTAATCTACGGAATTACATAAGCGTGTGTATCCCTTCAGGGAGAGAGAGTGCATTCCGTTCCACACGCAGGGAAATTTCCATGTGTAGGTGACACACACATGTGGAACTGTCATTCTGGTTTGGATACTGTTAAGCATGGGAATGGGTTTTCGCATGTGTCGGGACACCCAGCTGACCCAAACAACTTAATATTTTTAATTTTAATATTTTAATTAAAATTTTGTAAGAATTGTAGATCTGATTTGATAAATTCAGATCAATTATACGCCCATTAAACCTAATTCAAATGGTAGAGTTCAGTTAACAAATCCAGCAAACCATCTTCAAGATAATTGGGTCTTCTCTCTCGCGCCACCCAAAAATAGCAAAACTTTATGATTGTATTTTTTAAACGATTTGGTGTGGAGCACTTTGGATATGACACTGTTTTGATTTCACAGATGAATTATATCATAGCAGTGACCCCAGCATCCAGTGAAGGCTTCCTGCCGCCCCTGGCGCTCACTGATAAGAATCCTGCATTTCAGTTCTGTTTATCACAGGAAGTTCCTGTTAGGTGTTTGCCTCCTCCCTTTTGTTCACAGTCTCTCTGAACAATTCCATTATTGGAGAAACAATGTTAATCGAGCTATTCCGACGGCATGTTTTAGTAAGGAAAAGAAAAAAACTGCAGTTCTGGAACTTTCCGTAGCCTCCACAGATTATTGTAAACATCGGAGAATTGTTCAGAGAAAAAGGTAGGTTCACGTGTAAATCAAAATACATTGGTATCTAGGATACAGCCCATGGTTGGGATGGTATGTATTTTAGCCTAAAAATAGGGAAAGCTGTAGGATATTGTGCTTTTACCAGATTTATTAGAATAGTTTAATTAGTTAACTTTTTTTGTGTGAATAAATAAATGGCATAAAACGATGGTTTTAGACATCAGGAGTCCCATAGGGCCTTGGTTAGGGCACTCGCCTTGCAGGCGAGAGGACCTGGGTTTGTTTTCCGGACAGAGCAAAATCTTAGGCAAGTTTCCTTACTCCACACACCTCTATTTACCGGGCAGTAAGTACACTGTTCTTATTTGATTGGCGGATCACATTCTCCAAATCCACTCAATCCAAGACTGTTTGTGGGACACTGCTGTGCGCAATTGACTGCCACTTACTGCCTGAAAAATACAGTCAATCCACTTTATGGTATATTCTGTGAAGCGCTTTTGAGACGTCTTAACAACGTGATAAGGTGCTACATCAGATGTAAGGATTATTATTTTATTATAAAAAAATTGTGGGCTTGATATACGGAGCCATTGCATTTGTAAGTAAGGAAATGATGAATCTTTAAGACCATGGTTAGACCATGGTTGGAATATTGTGTGCAAACTATTTCCACTGGCGGCTGGGTTGGTAACTGAGGATACCGATTTAAAATAGTTGTTAAAAGAAACAGAGGAGAGAGGAGGAGAAATGTTTTCACACGGTGAGTTGTTCAGATCTGGAATGCATTGCCTGAAAAGCTGGTGGAAGCCAATTCAATAACAACTTTTAAGATAGAAGTAGATAATTATTTGGGGAGGACAAGTTTGCAGGGCTATAGGGATAGAGCGGGAGAGTGGGATTGATTTGGAAGCTCTTTTCAAAGCTGGCACAGACACGATGGGCCGAATGGCCTCTTTCTGTGCTGAATAATTCTAGGATTGTATGATTTAGGCGCCACAGTACGAAAGGATATCAGAGTTATAGAAAGGTTAACCACCTAAATATGTCAGAGATGAGGGCAAGTAGCTATGACGAGAGGCTGTCATAGCTCCTTGCCCTCATCTCTGAACATATTTTGCGTTGTAGATTTCTATGATTCCACAGAAAAGGCTGCACTAGTCCACAGTTTGGAACAATACTAGAAATTCGCAGCAAGTCAACCAGGGTCAGAAGGAACAACAGATCAACATTTGGGGCACTCCCTGCCAATTATGATTTAGAGTCTAACCTGAAATCAGAGATCAATCTGTTCTGGATTACAAGAATTTTGATGTTTTCATTTTTTATTTCAGTCTGTAATTGTGAGTTTGAGGGCATTTTTCACACTTACTAAACTGATAGAAATTTACAACCCCCTTTGAGATGGCAGAACTACACTATTTAGGTGAAAAATTGAATTTGAAAACTAACATACACCAGAGTATTGGGTAATAGGGTCAATTGCATAATAATCATAATAATAATCATCCTGTAAAACAATAACTTACATTTATATTGCACCCTTCACATAGGGAGTGCTTAAAATACTGCAATACTGTAGGACCCTGTTACAACACACTTTGTTGTAGTATTATAAGAACATAAGGACTTATTTATAACGGCCACTTCTTCCGAAAGTGCAGGCACTGAAACCTTAGAATGCTGTCGTCAGACACTCAGACTGGGAAGTTTAGCATAAACTCCTTTCTCCGTGATGTATCTTACTTTTGAAGTGCTGGGGCAGCTCTTTGACTACCTCTCCCGACAGCAGTAATAAAGGCTCTCATACCGTGAGTAGAGTTTTAGTCTGTAATTAATAACAACAGCAACAACTTGCGTTTATATAACACCTCCCTCCCAGTGTAGCGGTTATGTATTAGCTGAACACTGGACTTGTTTGGAAGTGGCTGCTTTATTTGGAGGCAAATGTGGGCAGCAAGGTCAGATTCCAAAGGGAAATGCGTTAAACTTTTTGGTAATTGAACCGCACACTTGATTTGGTCAGCTCATAAGTCTGCCTTTATTCAAAATTGTTAGACTTTACAAACTTCAGGCAAGGTTAGCAGGAGTGGAGGGGAAGAATTCCATCCGCCAATTCCTGCCAATGAGCTCGAGTGGCTGAGCTGTCATCACCAGTGCTTTGCAGCACCACAGAACTGCCAGGCTCAGGAACCAGACTACCAAGATCACACTCTGTTGCTAAGCAAGTCACCTTGGAGCCAGCTCAGCTTCATTAATAATTTCTTCCAAAAAAAATTGGTCCCTTCAATCCACGATGGGATTTGTGGGACACTGCTGTGCGAATTGGCTACTGTGTTGCGCCCACAAAATATAGTCAATTCACTTTACAGTATATTTTGTGAAGCGCTTTGAGACATCTTGAAGACACAAAAAGGTGCTATATTAAATGCAAGGCTTATTATCAACCTCCCTGCCCAGGGATGGCAGTCATGAGGATCGGAGGGACTACCTTTAACTCTCACGTTTCACTGATATTAACTTCTGGAATTAAATCAAATTTCATGATGTGTTGTTAAGAATTTTTCTTGCTTCTGTCTTTTGTCTACATAGCTGTGTTAATATGTTTAGAAGTGTGTTTTGATAACTTTTTAATTTAATATTTCTCTAGGGAATTCTGATTCTAACTTTTCCTCTTCTATCTCCAGGCCTTTGAAGATCTCAGTAAACTGATGCAAAAGGTATGTTTCCTCCTGCTCTTCCTAACCACAGTTAAATGCTATTATAAATGCTATTAGTGTGTCCGCTAATACATAACCGCTTACGATTAATTAAACAATGACTCCATTTATTTATTGTAAACTACCCATTTGCTAATTCAAGAAAGCAATACTAAAGATGCAATACAGTTTACATTTATACAGGGCTTTTCATATGGAGAATGTCTCAAAGTGCTTCAAATGGAGAGTGAAGAAATTGTATCTCTAAAAAAGTCTCCATTGCTTACAATAGATTAATAGGGACAACCAGTAAGTGTTTCCATCACAGTAATAGGGGATGTCAGTCCAGTTCCCCCCCACTGGGTGAATTTGTGATTTCAGATGCCCTATTGTAGCATGGGACCTTCACTCTGACAGAGGGAGAGAGAGAGAGACAGAAGGAAGTTCAAAAGTAGATGTTCAGCTATTGTGTGCTGTCTCGTGTCTTCCCACAGCTGCTCACAATGTCATTGGCAAAGGTCTACAGGCTGATCACCTGCCCACTCTTTTGGTACAGGGTGGATGCGAATATAAGTGGAGAAGCTAAACTTAAATGGTAAAGCTTCACAAGACATTAGAAAAACAAACTGGCTGTGTATTAAAGCAAGGCCCCTGCTGCCTCTTCAGGTGAATATTAAAGATCCCATTAGCACTATTCGAAAAAAGAAGGGAGTTTCTCCCGATGTCCTGGCCAACAATTCCCCGATAAATTTGGTTGGTCACTTCATAGCTGTTTGTGGGACACTGTCGTGCACAAATTTCTGCTGCGGTTGCCTACAAAATAGAACACAGTCACTACAGCATGTCCTTTGATGGGCTTGGAGACATCCTCCCGATGTGAAAGTGCTGTATCAAATGTAAGGATTCTTCTTATTATAGGAAGGTATAAGCAACAGATGTGACATGCGAGCAATGTTGCTGAGTTTGTACCTACCCTTGGCTCAGCATTGTATTACTGGCATCTTTTGTGCATGTGTGTTTAAAACTTTGTGGTTAATATCTGATCCTGATAAGTAGTCTCAATTTGGTTACTGGATCCACGACTGTTTGTGGGGCAATTGGCTGCCGTGTTTTGTTCGCCCACAAAATGTACAGTCAATTCACTTTACAGTATATTCTGTGGTGCTTTGAGACATCTCAAAGATGTGATAAGGCACTACATAAAATGCAAGGATTATTATTATCTAAATGTGCTTTGGATTTTTTTTCAGGCCAAAGAGATGGTTGACCTGTCGAGATTAATCGCAACTAAAATTAAAGACAAACAGGGTGAAATATCCGAAGATGAGGTAAGAGACACGTTGGTCGGAACTTGAGTTGGCCTTAGAGCAGCAATCAAAACATGACGTGTTGGAAACCAATGGCAACATTTAAAAGAAAGAATATTGTATTTGAAACGTCAACCCAAAAATGCCCCAAAATAAGCGCAAAATATTCCTACTTGTGCCGCAGTCCAACCTAGTTATATTAAGCTGATATCAGAAGCTTCCTGTTATTCCAGACAGTTTTTTTTTAAATCCTGTTTTAAACTCTTTTAAGGTCTCATTAATGTTGGGATCTCAACAAGACAAACCCCGGATAAGAAGAAGGGTTTTATCAGTCCTCCCAAATGTGCAATAACAAGAGACAGCGTTTAGTTTAGTGAGAAATGTAGATTTGCCAATTCTGTCCTGTGAATACTGTATTAGCCAAATTGCTAATCATACTCCCTGGGTTGGCACATACCGAGTCTGCTTCACGTGCAATTGCCTTTGAGTGGTTGGTGTAAGATGTTGCTTTGAGTTGGGTTTGCAAATATCTGTAATCTGTAAATTTGTTATCGTGGGAGGTTGCTGAGCAGAGAAGGGAGGAGGAATGTTAGCACTTAGCTGCACGTTTAGCAGGTTTCCTGCCAAATTGAATGGTCATCAACATTCATTACATCTTGGCTCAGTTGTTAGCGCTTTTGTCTCTGAGTCAGAAAGTTGTGAGTTCACACAGCACATCGGGACATGAGCTGATACTTCAGTGCAACAGATCTGACCAGAGGCTCACAGAGATGAAATTGTTCTCATTCGAAAAAAGATTGAGGGCGATATGATGTTGATCTTTAAAATGGTAGAAATAAAAGTAGGTTTACAGAAAAATTTGATCTATTGAGTAAGAACAGAACCAAAGGCAGTGGGTTTAAAATTTCAGAGCTTTAAGCATAATAATAATAATAATAATAATTTAAGCATGAGTGGATGTTAGAGTTTACCTGCTCCAGGACTCTACCCGGTGTGAAGGGCGCTATATAAATGGAAGTTGTTGTTGTTGTTACCCTACAGAGGAGTTGATATATGGAGAATATCCTAACAAGAGGGTATAATTTAACTCCTTTAAAAATGAAATGGGACAGTGATTATTTGGCAACATTATTCGAGAATAATAGGGATAGGTGCTGACTGAGATGGACAAATACTCCACAAAACCCAATAATTTCTGCGTTACTGATGGGGGTGGGATAAAGAGAAGAGAGAAGGCTACAAATGTGCAATCATGACATTTATGCAGTAAAATCCTGTGAAGCACTTTGCAATATCCTCCCGACATGAAAGACTCTATATCAAATGCAAAGATAACCTATTTAGTTATACAATAAGAGAGGGGGCTAGGGGTGGAGATGTGTTGGTGGCTGAATATTCTGTAGTTTTAAATTGGTTACCTTCTGGGTTCAGGGAGTAGCTGTGCTAGTTACCAGCCTGCGTGAGGGGTGCTATATAAATGCAAGTTGCTGTTGTTTCGCTGACGAGATAGATTTCACCCACTCTCTCTATTATTAGGGTGAATTTTTTGCATGACTGGGAAGGAGTGGTATTTTCTGCTTCCATGCTTTCTTTGCCTAGTTTTCTTTGTAGCATTTTATTTATTAAGTGAAATTGAGACTTTCATTCATTTTGCACTAAAAATAATTATTCAACAGCAGCAGCCTGCCAAGTCTCTAGCTCCTTGTTCAATTTCCACTTGTTTCCTTTGTTAGATGAGTCGCATTTTTCGATGTGTTTTCAACAATGATGTGGTGCTGCTTTTTAGTGGGTCAAGAACACGGCGATATTTTAGCCAAATGCAATACAACATATTAGATGACTACTTGCATAGCGCCCTTCACGCGGAGTAGGGTTTTGGAGCGTTTACATTTAGAAATAAAAGCATTTATTTTGTGCACTGTAAATTGTACTGCTTTCTGTATTGTATTGTAAATTCTTGTATCAAGCGCTCCGAGATGCCCTCTGCCGCGAATGGCGCTACATAAATGTATATTGTTGTTGTTACAGACAATTCGTTTCAAGTCCTATTTGCTGAGCATGGGCATAGCTAATCCAGTTACGAGAGAGACACACGGATCTGGAACACATTACCATATGCAGTTGGCGAAACAGCTGGCGGAGATGTTACAAGCACCTTTAGAGGTAAACATTGACCTTTGGTTGGATACTTTTTCACCGACAGAAATGCTCAGGTGTCAGCCTGACTCAGTTGGTAACACTCCAGCCATGGAGTTAACAGGTTGTGCGGTTGAAGCTCCTCGATGGGACTTTGAACTCACAATCTTGGTTGACACTCTATTGCAGTATTGGGGTAGTGGCACAGGGGAGATGCCTTTCTTCTGATGAGACATTAAACCGAGGACCAACTAACTGCCTGTTCAGGTGGATGTTAATGACTCCATGTCAGTAACAAGAAGGGAGTTTGTTCTGATCTTCTGGCCAACAATCCCGTACATAAAATTGGTCACTCACTTCATGGCTGTTTGTGCATAAATAGGCTGCCTTGTTTGCCCACAAACACACAGTCACTGCATTTTATTACAGTATATCTTATACATATTGGGATGCTCTTCCGACGTGAAAGCTGCTATGTTATTATTACATTTTCCGAACTGTGGTCTGTGTAGGTCTTTTCTTTGTTTGATAAACAGACACATTTACACTTAATTTCTTTACGTCCTCATTACAGAGAGAAATATATGTCTCCACTATTCCTCCAAATAGTGTTGAGGTTTTTTAAGAGAGTGCGCTTTTGTTCCACGAATGGTTTTTCCTCCGGCCCCCGCACTGTCTCGTGCGGTGTCCCTCAAGGCTCTGTCCTCGGTCCCCTCCTCTTCACCCTCTACATGCTCCCCCTTGGTGACATCATCCGCAGACATGGGGTTAACTTCCACATGTATGCGGATGACACCCAACTCTACCTTTCCTCAACTCCACGACCACCGATGTCCTGACAGCTGCCTGTCCGACATCGAGTCCTGGACAAGAGACAACTTTCTTCAGCTCAACGTGCGTAAAACTGAGGCCCTCCTGATTGGCTCACGTCAGCGCCTCCGCACCTCAGGTGCTGAAGGCATCAGCATCCAAGGCTGCACTCTCCACCTCTCAAAGCCATCAGGAACCTCGGTGTTCTGTTCGACCCTGAGCTGTCCTTTCTCCCTCATCCGCACCACAACTGGCACCGCCTTCCATCACCTCCAAAATATCGCCAGCCTACGGCACTACCTCACCGCTCATGCTGCTGAAACTCTGGTCCACGCCTTTATCACCTCAAGGCTGGACTATGGGAACTCTCTCCTCGACGGCCTTCCCGGCACCTCCCTCCACACTGCAGGTCATTCAGAACTCTGCAGCTCGTGTACTGTCCCGCACCAGACACCGCGACCACATCACTCCCACCCTCGCTCGCCTCCACTGGCTCCCCATCCCCCAGAGGATCGAATTCAAGATCCTCATCCTCACCTACAAGGCCATTCACGGCCTTGCTCCCTCCTACCTCTCCGACCTACTATATCCCCCTACCTACCTGCCCGTACCCTCCGTTCCTCTGGCTCCGGTCTGCTCCACGTCCCCCGCCCCAACCGCCCTACAATCGGTGGCCGGGCCTTCAGCCTCTCAGCCCCGAGGCTCTGGAACTCTATCCCCCAGTGCCTTCGCCCTTTCCTCCTTCAAGGCCGGTCTCAAGACCTTTCTCTTTGACCGTGCGTTCAGCTCCCCTCTCGACTCTCTATCCCCTCCTCGCTCCCTCCCTTCCCTCACCTCACCCTGACCATATCCCCCCGCTTGGGTCCTGACCCAACTGTACAGCGCCTTGGGACGTCCTCCCGACGTGAAAGGCGCTCTATAAATGGAATCTTGTTGTTGTATAAAAATAATTTAAATTCAATGCTGATTTGTCCATTCTTCTGAAACTTTGATAGGAGCAAGGTGGGATGATGGCGTTGACAGAGGTTTACTGTTTGACAAATCGAGCTCGAGGAATGGAGGTAATGTCACTAGTATGTGACTAGCTGTCTAATTTCTGCTTAGGTGTCGCTCTGCAGAAAAGGCACACTTATCAGTTCAGGTTACGAAGTACTACATGAACTCTTACTGGGTGTATTGAATTACGCGTGTGCAGTATAGATTATTGATTAAATTGGATTTTATCCAATTTATGCAAGTTTGCCTTATGGTCCCGATTGATACCATTTATGTGAGTTTTTCTGTAGTATATCCTGTAAAGCTCTTTGGGATGTTCTCCCCATGTAAAAGCCACAACATCAAATGGAAGGAATATTATTATAAGAGTAAATGCCAATGCCATGCATTTCCTCAGTGACCATGCATTTTAACAGTGATGGATATGTTTTACCTCCCTTCTCCGAACAACTCTCCTCTGACACAATCGGTACATCACCATCTGCAGGAAGCCCATGCAAATATCACCGAAAATTGGGGCTGCAGAGGTTGAGGGTCTGAATTAGAAACATATTTAATCTAAATATCTGCTGTTTGACCACACGTGAAGTCTGCGGTTGTTAAAACGCCCATTGTGTTTTGACTTAAAACACACAAAAAGCTTATTTTATTAAATCAGAAGAAAAGGATTATATTGCATGCCTTTGTATCTTTACATCTCCTTTTTATTAAAAAAAACTGTTTTGTTTGTATCAGCTGCTCTCGCCAGAAGATTTAGTGAATGCATGCAAAATGTTTGAAGCACTGAAGCTGCCTATGAGGTGAGTATATGTCATTCAGAATCGTAATTCACCTTGGCTCGGCTGCTAGCACTCTCATCTCTGCCCCACTAAGACCTGTAGCTCAGTGGTTAGAGCACTCGCCTTGCAAACAAGAGGACCTGGGTTCAATTCCCGGCAGTGCGAAACGTTGGGTAAGTTTCCTTACTCCAGACGCCTCTGTTTACCCAGCAGTAAATAGGAACCCAGTTGTTAGTCAATTGGCAGATTGCTTTTCTGGGGCTAATAATCCCTTTAAAAAGCAATAATAATTTGATCATTCAATCTGCCACTGTTTGTGGGACGCTGCTGTGCGCAATTGGCTGCTGCATTTTGCCCACAAAATATACTGTCAATTCACTTTACAGTATATTCTGTGAAGCGCTTTGAGACATCTCAGAGATGTGATAAGGCACTATATCAAATGCAAGGACTATTATAATTCACCTTGGCACAGCTGGTAGCACTCTCATCTCTGCGTCAGAAAGTTGTGGGTTCAAGCACCGTATCCTGGGCTTTGGGCTAACACTCCAGTGCAACATTGGGGTTGCCATCTTTCGAATGAGTGAATAAACTAAAATTTCATCGGCATGATCAACAATGAGGTTAGGATCTCATGACGCTGTATTAAAAAAGGAATTTCTCCTAATGTTCTGGCCAACATTCCTCCACATTAATCAGTCATTCACCTCATGGCTGTTTGTGCGACATTGTTACATCCAAATTGCCTGCAAAAAATAAGCACTAAACGTGCCAATATTTACCATGAAGTGCTTTTGAGACAGTTTCAATGTTATATACACCATAAAATGCAAGTTCTTTCATCTTTCCCTCATTATTTGTCCTCAAATATTCATCCAGTTCCCTTTCAATACTGTCACACACTGTGCCAGCTCTGATCACCTTCATCAGTTTTTTTTAGTTTTAATCCTTCCCCCGCTGCTCTCCATCCTCCTCAATTCCAACCCCCAGCTCGGCTCCAAAACACCGACTGTCCAGCGCCTTGGGACGTCCTCCCGACATGAAAGGCGTTATACAAATGTAATTTTGTTGTTGCTGTTGTTATTTCAATAGAGTTTTTAATTAATTATATGACTAGAGTTGTGATCTTTCAAAAATAGTTTGCCAAACTATGGTATGGTTCTGTTATGTGCTTTGCCAGTTTGTCGCTCAAATAGTTACCCTCACGTGAATGACAACAGTCTAGTAGTTGGACTTACTCATTGTTAAGTTGGAGTTAAACGTGTAGTGATGTTTAACGGAGAATTACTGGGCAACATTAGGACACTGTTTTGAAACTTTTGTGTGTAACTTTTGATTTATTTAGAAGACAAAAATATACCTGAAGGTTTGACTTATGCACTTTATTTTACCAGCAATATTGTGAATGTTTCCAAGTTAAACACTTGGTTTAATCTGTTTCAATGGAGTTTATTATATTTTCTTTGCAGGTTGCGTATTTTTGACAGTGGAGTGATGGTAGTTCAACTACAGTCACACAGCGAGGATGAAATGATTGCATCCGCACTAGAGAGTGTAAGGAAGTTTTGTTCTCTTACTCATTGTTAAGTTGGAGTTAAATGCATGGAAAGGAGAAACAATGGGGCAGTAGATAAACCATCACCCACATCAAACTCTAATAAACGGACGAACCTGCCTGTATTGATGGATTATCGCTCCAAGTAACAGGTCAAACGGGTAAATACTAGCATGAAAAGCTCACGGACCCTATTCAGTGCCTTCCATCAGTTGAGATCAGCAGCTTGTTAGGTGGCGATTTATTACGGTACAAATACAACAACAAAAATTACATTTGTATAGCGCCTTTCATGTTGGGAGGACATCCCAAGGCACTGGACAGTCAGTGTTTCGGACCTGAAGTTCTTTGGGACATCCCATGTGAAAGATGCTATATCAATGTAATTTGTTGTGTTGTTATTCGTAACCACCATATCACTCTTATTCAAGAGCTTTTTGGATGACCCAGTGGGATGGCTATAACGGGACACATTTGTTTTTCTCTCTATTGCCTATAGGTGACAGAGAAAGGCTGCCTCAGTTCTGAAGAGTATGCCAAGCTTGTGGGTATCTCCGTGCTCTTGGCCAAAGAAAGGTAACTAATTATTATTATGGCATTGTATTGTTTATCTGAAAACATAGTCGCTTAGAATGATCTAAAATTCATTTTAAAAAATGAGGGAAAAAGCTTTGTATGAGATTATCCTCAGACATCATAAGGGATGTTTATTGTCATTGTCAATTTATTATGTTCATTGTCCCAACACAATGACGCCTTAAATAAATAAAAATATGAATTATATCTTAATGGTAAGGCTAATAAAACAAACATATTATAAATATGACAGCATTGATTTACAAATTGGGGTATTGATTATAGATATATATATTAAAAATAACTTGACCACTCAATCCATTAACTCACTCCCTGATTTTTGTGGGACACTGCTGTGCAATTGGCTGCCTTGTTTCGCCCACAAACTCAGTGAATCCACTTACGTATTTTCTGTGAAGAGCTTTGAGACGTCTCAATAACATAATAAGGCACTATATCAAATGCAAGAATTATTATTAAAAGAATCTGGCGTATATGAGAGAGAAGAGAATAGAAGGATATAGGAGAGGATTAGGAGGGGTGTAGATGGGAGAGAAGCCTTACATGAAATATAAACACTGGCATGGACTAATTGGGCCGAATGACCTTTTTCCGTGCTGTAGTGTTCTATATCATTATTTTAACAAGTTATGTTATATTTTATCTTCTGATTTCTATTAAATTACAGACTGCTACTGGCTGAGAAATTTGGACATCTTTGCCGCGACGACTCTGTTGAATGCCTGAGATTTTTCCCAAATTTGTTTCTGACAAAGACTGAAAGCATACAATAGGAAATCTTTACTGTATTCTCTGAGGAGGCTGGTGACTGAGGCATATTGAGACGATCTCTGTTGCGAAATGTTCCAGAATCGATTTTGAATGCTTCAGAAGCAAAGTCATGGAGAGATGCAGTCCTGTGATAAAGTACAATATCACACTGGAAGAGTTCTGTATCTTATAGTCTACGGAGTGAATAAATCAGTGCCTGTCCCAGCTTCACCTTTGATGTTTAAGAGCTGCATAAAAGGTGCGTTGCAAACCCAGACAGCATTCGTGTGACTGGTTACTTGTGTAAAACCTAGTAAAACGACACTCATAATGTCAAATAACAGTAAGTCTTCTAGTTTTAGTTTGTCCAGTTTTCTACCAGTTTGGATTCCCCCCGCTCTAAAGGTCTTGTTTACTTCATTGTAGATAATTTTGAACTACAGAGGTCTTCCTTTCAAGTGCCATCACTGGCACTTATCCAACATTATTTTCTTTCTGAGATCTTAAAACTGATAATATCACTTTCTCTACCATCGTAAATATGGTAACTTTATTTTTTCAAATAAGCCATTGAAATTGACACCTGTGTATTAAATTACTTTAATATTTAACCACTCTATTTTTCATTTCTACATGTTTTTTCGCATTAAGTCTTTTATGTCTGTCTATTCCTTGTTTGTTTTTCAGTTTTTCCTCTTTTTCTTTCACTTGTTCAGTTTCCGTTTTTCTCGTTTCCAATCCTCAGCTTGTCCTTTCCCATTATTCGCTGCTTTGCTTGGCCGTTTCTGTTTCTCTTGTCTTGAGTTTCCTGTTATCCCGGTGTTTTCAACCTTTTTCTCACATTAGACCAAGAGTAAAAGTCAGCAAGGAGTAGATAAAACCTTGAGAGATCCCAGGATCATCCAACAGCTTGTGGGAAATGCTACATTGAGATGTACATGGAGGAAAGGGGAAAGATCTGGACAGAAATTAGGTGAAGACTTAGCAATGCCAAGTTGAGGCAGTAGGTGATGGGAAGGAAGGATGAGAGATAAATTTTGGATCCTGCACACACACACAGAATCTATTCCTTTCATAGAATCCTACTCCACAGAAGGAGACCATTCGGCCCATTGTGCCTGGACCGGCAATTAGTCCCACTCTTCTGCTCTTCCCCCATAGCCTTGAATTTTTTTTTCTTTTGCAGTAAATATCCAATTCCCTGTTGAGTTATTATTGAATTATTGAACCCAATTCAGGCAATGCATTCCAGGTTGTAACAACTCGCTGTGTAAAACAGATTCCCCTGGTCTCCCCTCTGCTTCTTTTGCTCTTTTCTCTCAAGTTCAGAGGTTCAAAATATATGATAATGCAATTCCTGATCCTCTCCTTGTCCTTGAACATTAAGTATTTAAAAACTGATTTAATGGCTAGTGTATAAGCATTACAGTCAGGTGTCAGACTAACTGAGTGTTAGTGGTCTGTATTATGTTTTCAGAGTACATGGTCCATTTGTGTCAAATACATTGCAGAGCAGGGAGGGTCATCAGCAAATCTAATTCATTATTAATGGCCTGAATTATTGTCAATAGCTCTATATGATCATTGTTTTTTTGCTTTCTTAATATCTATTGTTTATATAATACGGTGATAATATGGTGTCACCTGTCTCATTTGATAGCACTCTTGCCTCTGAGTCAAGCAGTTGTGGGTTCAAGCCCCATGTTGGGACTGCAAACTCAGTCTAGGCTAACACTCCAGTGCAGTTCTGGGGCAAGTGCTTCATTATCAGAGGTGCTGTCCTTCAAATAAGACATTGATTTAAAGCCCTGTCTACCTCTTAAGGTGGACGTTAAGGTTCCTATGGGCTATTTGAAAAGTGAAGGGAGATTCTCCCATTGTGTGATGGTCAACAATGACCATCACAATGATACAATTGATCGTTCACTTCATAGCTATTTGTAGGGTTTTCTTTGCACAGATTGGCTGCTACGTTCACCTACAATAGCACAGGATGTAACTATTTTTTGCAAGGCTTGTTTTGGGAATATGTGCTGCTATGTGGGAAAAATGTATAAAATTGAAAACCTGCATTGAAAAAAAACCTGCAGGGAGAAACTGATTTTTAATTTCACAAAATAAAGATTTGTATTTTCCCTCAATGTTTTTCTTACTTTGTTCCTATATTTGCACTTACCACCCTACACCCCCACCAGTCTGATAATTACTTGCATCTCTGAAAAATCACCTTGACATGTGTTATCCTTATTAAAGCCTTCTTATTGACAAGTCTCAAGACCCTCCTCTTCAACCAAGTCTTCAGTTACCCTCCTACCCCCAACCCTACCCTCCACCCCTAACCCCTATTCCTAACCACCAGCTCAGGTGTAAATCCTTCACTGTCCAGGCTTTGGGACATCCTCCCGACGTGAAAAGTGCTGTGTAAATGTAATTGGTCGGTGTTATCCAGAATCTTTAACCTTTAGGATCTGTTCCACCTAAGCATGAACTTCATGAAGAAGTGTGGGATTTCCTGCCCAGGTTAGCATCATTGACTCAGTCACACTGATATAAACACAAAGTTATTTCTAAGTTGCACCTTGAAATTAAAATCACCTTGAAATGAATCAAAAGAAAAATTAAAACTCAACTCATTTTAAGAGCCCTGAATTTGTAAAATATCAACAGGAAGAGGCCATTCAGTCTTCTCTGCCATTTTGTTAAATCATGGATACCGGGGATGAGGGACTTCAGTTCTGTGGAGAGACTAGAGAGGCTGGGATTATTCTCCTTAGAGCAGAACAGGTTGAGGGGTGATTTGCAGAGTCCTGGAGCTCAGTGGTTAGAGCATTCGCCTTGCAAGCGAGTGACCTGGGTTCAATTCCAGGCAGGGCGAAACCTTGGGCAAATTTCCTTCCTCCACACGCCTAACAATAATCCCTCCAAAACAAAAATAAATTGGCCATTTTCAATCCACGACTGTGTGTGGGACACTGCTGTGCGCAATTGGCTGCCGCGTTTCGCCCACAAATATATACGGTTAATTTACTTTACAGTCTATTCTGTGAAGCGCTTTGAGACGTCGAAAAGACATGAAAAGCACTATATCAAATGCAAGGATTATTATTATTTAATAGAGGTGTTCAAAATTATGAGGGATTTTGATACAGATAGGGACAAACTTTCCTCTGGTGTGTGGGTCGGTAACCAGAAGACACAGATTTAAGATAATTTGTAAAAGAACCAGAGGGGCAATAAGGAGAAATTTTTTTACCCAGAGAGTTGTTACGATCTGTAATGCACTGCCTGAAAGGGTGGTGGAAGAAGATTTGATAATAGCTTTCAAAAGGGATTTGGATAAGTACTTAAAAAGGAAAAAAATTGCAGGGTTATGGGTAGCATCCTTCATGCAAAATAGTTCTCGGAGCACTGCACTGTGGCAGGATTGGTGCTGAGCAAGGAGGTGACTATAGTCTTGGTCAAAGATGTAAATCAAGGTGGGATTTAAATGTAGAAAAAATTAAAGGAGATGTGAGGGAAATCAAAAACACAATAACTTGTATGTTAAACACCCATTACATAGAGTAACATCTCGGAGCGTGTTAAAGAGACGGTGCCAGACGGGTGTGGGTAGCTTTTGAAGACTGGATGAGATGGAGGGGTAGGTTTCTGATCCTAGGTTTCTGAGCTGAGGGACTTGTAAGTAAGGGTGAGGATATTAAACTCGATCTGCTGGGAGCCAGAAGACCCTGACAAGGACAGGGATAATAGGCAACGTTTTGTGCAAGTAAGGCTATGGTGCCAGGGTTTGAATATTGTGGAGCGAGGAAAGAGGGGATTTAAGTCTGGAAGGTGACAAAGGCATGAATGAGGGTTTGGATGTTCTCATGGACCATTTGATAGCGCACCTGCCTCTGAGTCAGAAGGGTACGGGTTCAAGCCCCGCATTGGGACCTTGAGTTCATAGCTTAGGCTGACATTCAAGAGAGGCTGTCGTTCAGATGAAATATTAAAATAAGGTCCTATCTACCTGTTCAAGTGAATGTTAAAGATCCCATGGAGAGTTTCCCATTGCTGTCCTGGTCAACAACACCCCAGATAAAATTGTTCATTCACATCATAGATGTTTGTGGGACATTGCTGAGCACAGATTGGCTTCTGACTTTGCCTACAAATACACGGTTACTACACTTTACAGTGAATCTTGTGAAGAACTCTGAGAGATCTACACGAAAGGCAAATGTAGTGATGGGGTGGGGGGGGGGGAATTGCTTTCTTGGTGTCCTACTAACAGCTGTTGGATGGATCATGACCTGGGGCCTGAACCCACAACTTTGTAACTCAGAGACCAGAGTGCAACCAGCACCTTAACACACATGATCTGCATTAGTTTTGGTGGTCAGTTAATGGGAATACTATTTTGGCTCATTCAATGGCTTTACATTTTGGCAAATATGACAGTTCATCACTGTGGAATCTACTTATATTACAAACCCGTCATTGTGGTGCAAAAGATTGTAGGGGTAAAGAGATCCATCCGGCAGGGTGGTCTAACCTTTTGGCAGCCGGGGGCTGGATGCCCTATTAGAGAAACATCCACAGGCCACAAAAACAATATCCCTTCCAGAAACATAATACTGTATAACATTTACAGGTTATGGAGGGAAAGGTGGGCCAATTGAAATGGAGGAGGGAGGGGTTAGCCAGATGAAATTGGCCCGCGGGCCGCATGCGGCCCAAGGGCCACCAATTGGACCACCCAAAGAGGGGAGACCCAGAAAGAGAGAGAGAGAGAGAGACACCAAGAGACATCCAGATTGTTAGTCTCTAAGGGAGATTTTCAGAGAAAGAAGCTCAGAGAGAACACAATACTGTAATTTATTCCAGAGACACATACCCCAGTGGGTAAAGATTCTCAGGTATTGATGAGCTCAGAGAGATGGACAGTAACAGAGAGATGCTCCAGTTTGGGGAGACCCACATCCCAGTGCCTTTACTTAAAGGGAATTGGTTTGACTTCATTTTGGCAGCTAAATAAGACCTCATGTAAGAACTGTACAGCAGTAACAGCATTCAGACAGACAGTGTTAGCTGTCATACAAAAAAAATGCATTTAAGATTTGACATTTCGATTGCTTTTGTTTTATTTGGAGTTGGAGAAAACCTTTGCTGAGCCTTCATTCTTTCTTTCTTCTTTTTTTTTGGACGATTTGCCCTGACATTTATTATTCCTGCCAGCTGAGTTTTGATGAGATGTTTGGGTCTCCTTTGGCGACTATTTTGTTGGTGTCTTAAATTACTGGAGGAAAAAACCATCGAGACTCATTCATCTCAACGCTCTGGCTGCTTTGCTGTGATTTCCTCAGTGTGGGTGTGAGTGAGTGTGTGTGTGTTAGGGGGGTGGGGGGGTATGAAGAGCGGATACCACTGTGTCAATGTGTATGAGTTGCTGTCAGAGTGAGGAAGGACATGACGAGGGAGGAGATCCTAAGCCAGGTCACCAGTCAGTGTGAGTGATTCGGAATGAAACACACTGTGAGCCCAGCTCTAGTCTCACATCTTACACGCGTCTTGCTGCTGGCGGCTTGTGGATGTGGTAAGTGCAACTAGAGTGAGAATGCAATAAAAAAATAAGCGGAGGAATAATAGCCACAGGGGCGTCTTGTGTGTGTATTTATTTTGAATGTCATTTTACAATGGACCACTTGCACACTGTGTAAGTCCTGCTTTGAGAGTCAGAGTGTGGCTGCGAGTAGCAGCATAGCTTTACTGTCGGGGTTTTAAACCGGTCACAGCTGCTGTTTGCTGTCTGCTGGCTGTAATAGACCATCAGCTGCACGTTTCACAGTGAAGAGATCTGTCCTTTTTCTTCCTCAACGACCGAGGAAGAAAACGGGATCGAATCACTTTGGAAGTCGGCTTCTGTATATAAATATATTTTTTTAAATAAAATAATACAAAAAAAGGCAACGAAAGCCCTGAACGCTCCAATATAATAGTTCAGCCTGGTGTCTGGCTTCCTGTTGATGTTCTGTGTGTGTAGCTGTAATGCTGAATGCACTGATCCAGGCCAACCCAATCCCATTGAGGGATGAATCATTCCGAACTCTCTTAACTATACAATCACTGAGCCAATGTGCACAATTGCAATTGTTCAGCCACACAAGTTCACAATTAAGGAAGGCGTCTTGCTTTACAGCCCCGGGAATTGCAGGAAAAAGTTCCAAGTCTTCTGTGTTTCTCCTGTTTTATGTTTCTATAATCTATAGATATTTTGATTTCTTTCTTCCTAATAATAATAATAATCCTTGCATTTGACATAACGCCTTGTCACGTCGTTGAGACGTCTCATAGCGCTTCACAGGATATACGGTGAAGTGGATTGACTGTATATTTTGTGAGCAAAATAGATTACTACCAGTTGTTAGTTGACTGGTGAATCGTTTTTCAGGGGTAATAATCCTTCAATAAATTTGGTCAATCAATCCACGGCTGTTTGTGGGACACTGATGTGTGCAATTCGCTGCCGCTTTTTGCCCACAAAATATACAGTCACTTTACAGTATATTCTGTGAAGCACTTGGAGACGACTTAACGATGTGATAAGTTGCAAATCCTTGCATTTGATATAGCAGCCTTTTCACGGCGCTGAGACATCTCCAAGCGCTATACAGAATATATTGTAAAATAATAATAATAATAATCCTTGCATTTGGTATGGAGCCTTATCACATCTTCGAGATGTCTCAAAGCACTTCAAAATGGTTTGACTGTGTATTTTGTGGGTGAACCGTGGCAGTGAATTGCACACAGTAATTAAAATCATATTCGGAATGGAAAAGGACCTTCTGGGATGTGAATACCACATCTAACAAATTGTGCTTTGATATATTTAGATATTTAAACATTTTTTTTTTAAAAAGGGTATTTTATTTAGACAAACTTAGGCCAAAACGTTGTTTATTTCTCTCTCTTCTGTCAGGAGCCTGGGCTGCAGGGACAGAACTAAATCGAACGGTTAAAGTGAGAATTGTTAATTGTAGATTAACCAGTTGTTGTTTTCGAAATTGAAAATTATGACTAAATAGAATTGTTATCCATCCTGGGGTGGAGGGAGTGGGGGGGGGGAGGGAGTTGAGTAATTAGGGTCTTCTTGGAGCTGAGCTGGTTCTCAGGTGACGTGCTTGCAAAAGGACGTCAGAATCAAATCAATCTCTGTGGTGGTCTCAGTATTCCTGTTCCTGAGCCAGATGGGTCCGCAATACTGGATTGCTGATAATAATAATACTTGCGTTTGATATCGTGCTTTGTCACTTCTTCAAGGCATTGCAAAGTTTCACAGAATATACTGTAAAGTAAATTGACTGTATATTTTGTGGGCGAAACTCGGCAGCCAATTGCGCACAGCAGTGTCCCACAAACAGTCGTGACCAAATTATTGTCTGTCTGTCTGTCTGTAACAACAATAATTTGCATTTATATAGTGCCATTCACACAGGGTAGCATCTCTGACGCCGAGCCAGGGGAGAGGGAGGGGGGAGGTGACTGTAAGCACGATAAAAAAGGAAGATATTTCAGCAGGATTTGAAAGTGGGGAGGGAGGGGGAAAGGCAGAGGGATGGAGGGAGAGAGTTCCAGAGTTTCGGGGCTACCGATGGTGTAGCAGAGAGGACGAGGGATGAACAGGAGTCAGCCGAGTAGAGGCAACGGCATGGTGGAGTGGGGGGTAAGTGGGTAGGGAGAGGGCTGGTCACGGTCGGAAAGAATGTGACTTTGACCAGGACCAGGACCATCTCAGTACATGTGGACAACGCAGAAACCAATTGGAGGGGGAAGCAATCAACGCTGGGAAGCAATGACTCATTCCAGTACCTTGGAGCGGAAAAGATGGCGAAGATGGGACATTAGGTAGGATAGGTTGAGGGAAGCATTTTTGAGGTTATACTGTAAAGTGGAGTGACTGAGTCATTTGTGGGTGAATGCTGCAGCCAAACTACTCACAGCAATGTCCCACAAAACAGCCATGGAGTGAGTGACCAATTTTATTCGAGGGATTGTTGGCCAGGACACCGGGAGAGAGAAACTCCCTTCTGTTTTCAATAATGGTATTTTAACGTCCACTTGAAAAGGCAGACAGGACTTTGGTTTAACGGCTCATCCAAAGAACGGTACCTCCGACAATGCAACACAATGCACTTGAGCGTCAGCCTAGATTATATGAGTTCAAAGTCTGATGTGGGGCTTGAACCCATAACCTTCTGGCTTAAACTGCTTCCGAATAAGCACAGGCTCAAGCTTGGGACATGTGCAGTGCTTAAAAGAAGGCTTTGTGTGAGAAGAGTTGATAACATGGCAGTTTTTCTCTTAATAATAATAATAATCCTTGCATTTGATTTAGCGCTTTTCACGTCGGGAGGATATCCCAAAGCGCTTCACAGAATATACTGTAAAGTGAATTGACTGTATATTTGTGAGCGAATACGGCAGCCAATTGTGCACAGCAATGTCCCACAAACAGTCATGGATTGAAAATGACCAATTTATTATTGTTTTGTTTTGGAGGGATTATTATTAGGCTCTGTGTGGAGTAAGGAAACTTGCCCAAGGTTTCGCCCTCTGCCTGGAATTGAACCCAGGTGTCTCGCTTGCAAAACGAGTGCTCTATCCACTGAGCTACAGGACTACACTCTTCACTTTTTTCCTCAACTATCTTGAAGACGGTGATTGATTCTAGCTTGTCTACAGCACGCTAACCATTACAGTACGGGACTCCGTGCAATTATTACTGTATAATCTCCTTTTTATTTCTTTTTGCCGCAGTTGTTTTTGCTGAAGTCAGCTATCGCCTCTCAAGACAACTCCGGCACGTGGCTCTGAGCAATCAGACCATCTACGTGGACGTCAGAGATCTGAGCAACCAGACCGTCCAAGATGTGACCGTGTCGCTGGTGGACGTCAGCAGAAATCAAACTGTGACGACAAAATCCACGGCTGGGAATCAATCCCAGGCCTCCGTGGGGTTCGAATGTTTCCATTTCAAGCAGGCGGGAGAATTTGAGTTCAGAGGCAGAGATTTGAGGGCCAACGGCACCACTGAGTGGACGAGCGAAATACTGCACGTGGAATGGCCAGCGTTCCACACCGAGGTCAAGAGGAAGAGTGACGTGTGGCAGAGCAGTTTCCAGGTGGGAGTCTTCACCAGTGAGTTTCTGTGCCCGTGGTGGCCGAGTGCACTGAGGTTGTCTCTGGATGTTACCAGCAGCGATTTCCATCAGCCTGGAATGTACGATAAACACAAAGCCTTGAAGAGAACAATAAGCAAAGACATCGAGCTTTCCAATTCTCAGTGGGTGGAATTCGATTGCTCACATTTCAGGCAAGACTCTTTGATTACGATTTTATTGAGGGCTCCACACACAGGTGAGGTGATATCTTCGGAAGGGCCGTTGGTGTTCGATCGAATCTTCGGGTACAAGCTAGTCGTCGATCACTTAAAAACCTCCACGTGCGAGTTGTCCACAGGTGTGCATATTGTTGCTCCCCCCTGTGTGAACCTACAGGGCACAATCTCCGTGTATAAGGATTCATTCACAAGAGAGAGTTTTGTAGCTGAGAACTGGCTCCATCCCGGGAATAACAAGACGGAGTTTAACTGCTCTCTGTTTGACGCTGGGAAAAGTAACTACTGCTTCAAGTATGTCAGTGTTTTGAACCACAGCCATTCTGCCCCCAAGGCGAAAAGTTGCGTAACACTCCAGATAGACGCAGGTTTGTATTTATGTACATTTTAAAGGGATCCGAACTTTTAGAAGTATGTACAGTCGCATTTCACTATAACCTGACCAGCAGAAAAGATTGTTATATCAGGGTGTTCACTATGGTCGGGTTTGGCTGTTAAAGTGATGCAAAAATTGTGTCTTGCCATTGGGATCGTCAAAACGTGGGTTGTTATAAACAGTATTTGTTATAGTGAGGTACAACTGTAGCTGCATATGGTGTATGGGGAAAAGGCAGGAGAATGGGACTTAAATGGTACAACAGCAACTTGCATTTATATAATGTCCTTCATGCGGGATAGCGTCTTGGAGCGCTTGAATACAAAACAACTACATAGTGTATTTCACATCGTGAGGACATCTCAAGGCGCTACACGGTGCTGGGTAGATTCCTGAGCTGGGGGTTGGAGCCGAGGGAAAAGATAACCAAAAGAATGGTTGAAGATGTACGATATGAAATGTGCCTCGAAAAAGGGAGGGAGGGAGGGAGCAAGACAAAAGGACTGTGGAATGGAGTTTCGGAGAGCAGTGATTCATTTTCAAATTACTTCATTCCCTCGCACCTCCCTACCTCTCCGACCTGCTTAACCCCCACTCCATCACCCGCTGCCTCGGCTCAGCTGGCTCCGGCCTCCTAATTGTCCCTCGTCCCCTCCACTCCACTTTCAGCCACTACGCCCCGAAACTCTGCAACTCTCTCCCTCCATCCCTCTGCCTTTCCCCCTCCCTCCCCACTTTCAAATCCCACCTAAAGACCTTCCTTTTTGTTTGTGCTTAAGGACACCTCCCCCCTTCCTCTCCTCTTGGCTCGTTGTTAGACTCTGCAACTGTGAAGCGTCCCCGGGATGCTATCCCACTTGAAGGGCCCTATATAAATGCAAGTTGTTGTTGGTAGAGTGGCTAACACCCCCTCCCACTGATGGTGAGGCAGATAGAGATAAGGGGGTGGACATGACGCAGGCTGGTGTTCATTGCTAACTGTCTCAGCGAGCCAGCACAGGTCCGATGGGCTGAATAATAATAATCCTTACATTTGATAAAGCGTGTTTCACGCTAGGGAAACCTTAGAGCACCTCATGGGATGTACTGTAAAGTGCAGTGACTGTGTATTCTGTTGGCAAATGTGAATGACCTCCTTGTGTAATGTAAATTTCTATGGTCCTTCAATACACTTTCATAATTGTATAACGTAGTGTAATTATAAGCGCTCCGAGATATTATAATGCAAGAAGGGCATTGTATTAATGCAAGTTATTGTTATTGTTGTTACACTGACATAATACATATCGTTTAAAAAGCATTTGCCCACAAAAGACAGTCACTGCACTTTACATTTTACCCTGTGAATCACTTTGAGACATCCTCCCAACATGAAAGGCGCTATACCAAACAAAAGGATTATTATTAGTAGTAGTGATGTTAATATTAGTACTGTATTGTTAAATGCCACAATTATCCTCGGTTTTATCAGGTAACCAGCATCTTATGTTAATATAGTATTTCGATGTATTATGTATAATATAAGGCAACTGTGTTTTCTCTTTCACTTTAGTTCCTGAAATATTCTACAACTTCTGTCAGTATTTTATCATCAGTGTTTATATCTATAACTGAAACTTAGTTAGAGCACTCGCCTCCCAAGCGAGAGGACCTGGGTTCGATTCCGAGGCAGGACAAGACGTTGGGCAAGTTTCCTTACACTACACACTTCTGTTTACCTAGAAGTAATTAGGAACCCGGTTGTTAGTCTATTGGCAGATCGCTTTCCGGGGGTAATAATCCCTCCAAAAAATAATAATTCGGTCACTCAATCCACGACTATTTGTGGGATACTTCTGGCGCAATTGGCTGCCGTGTTTCACCGATAAAATACACAGTCACTACACTTCAGTATATTCTGTTAAGCACTTTGAAATCTCTCAAGAACATGATAAGGCGCTGTATCAAATGGAAGGATTGTATTATTATTATTATAACTGGGCTATTTTTAGAACAATGTTCTAATGACATTCAGCAAACTACCGTATAATCCTACCACTCTGATCAGTCCACCTATGTGCTGTAATATGTTTTGGTGAGATGTGAGTTTGCATGAGTGATATTTATGCTCCAAAACTGATAGATTAAATCGGTCATTCACTTCATGGCTGTTTGTCGGATGTTGCTGTGCAAAAATTGGCTGCCGCATTCACTTCCAAAATACCATCTCTACACTTTACACTCATTTATAGTAAAATCCTGTGAGGCGCTATGAGATGTCCTCCTGACTTGAATGCCGATATTTCAAATGCTAGGATTATTATACACAGCATAATCATGCTCTGATGTCAAGGGGAAATTCAGGAAGACATATCAAAGAGAGGTCATGTACTTCCTCAGAGATGTGTGGGAAAAGTCACTCCAGGTCTGATTTTTCTGGCAAGCAATTCAAAAACAGAATTGGCAGAGTCTGAATGGTAGCCCATCTCGAATAACCAGGGAATGGGGTGTGTCACGTGAGAAAGTAGTAAAAAAAATATTTATTCATCTCTGCTCTTCTGCTAAAAGCATTTATCTCATTTTTCTTTCTATGATAGTTCTGTTTCCTGGTTCCATATCCACTTGGGAGTCTAACTGCAAAGCTAATAATAATCATTCTATTTGATATAGCGCCTCATCACGTCTTCTAGACATCTCAAAGCTCTTCATAGAATATACTGTAAAGTGAAATGACTGAATATTTGTGGGCGAAACGTGGCAGCACAGCAGTGACCCCCAAACAGTCAGGGATTGAGTGACCAAATTATAATAATGATTTTTTAAAGGATTATTACCCCCGGAAAGAGATAATGACCGTAACAACTATTAATAATTAAAAAATAATCCTTGCATGTCACTTATGATACTGAGAACATCTCAAACTGGTTCACAAACTTTCTATGATGTGCAATTATAGGCGATTTCTGTAATGCACAAAACAGCCCCACAAATAGCCATGAAGCAAATGAGCAATTTATCTGGAGGATTGTTGGCCAGGACACCAGGAGAAACTTCCTCCTCTTTAGTGCCAAGTAGTGCTTTTTGTCACACATCGGAACAGGCAGACGGGATCTTAGTTGAGCACGGAATCTCCGGCAATGCAGCATATGCCTAGCACTGTACTGGAGCATCAACCTGGATAACAGTATTAATTGGGGCTTGAACCCAAAATTCAAAAGGGAATTGGATAAACATTTGAAGAGAAGCTATATTAAATGATACAGGAAAGAACAGGGAATTGGATTCAGAATTTCGGTCACAGAAGTCAGGCGTAGTGTAGTTTTTTTCCTCCTATGCTGTCATTTTTATGATTCTATAATTATTTATTCAAAAAGCTATGGTTGAATTTAGTTCAGGGCAAACTATTAAACTATTAGATAATGGACCATAAAACCATTCCGAATGTGTCCATCCCCATCAATGTGAAGTTCTCAGAGACATTATTCTAACATGAAGGTCACTATATAAATGCAAGGTGTTGCTGTTGTTAATATTTCTTTGTGAACTTTGCCCAGATATTGATGCATTTTTTGTAGAAAGATGGACTGTCTGGCTGTCTTGGAGCCCATGCAGCGTAACTTGTGGTGATGGGACACGTGAAAGATACCGTCAGTGCATCTCACCCTCCTCAGGGAACGTTAAATGCACCGGGGAGAACAAGGAGGTTTCCCACTGTTCTCTTGTGGATTGCACTGGTAGGTCAAGGCACCGACTGCACAACGTTTAAAGCTAACGATGCCCTTTGCTAAAATTAGAGCTTGGCCATTTAGGAGTGAAATCAGGAGGCAGTTTTTCACCCAAAGGGTAGTGGAAATTTGGAACTCTCTCCCCCAAAAGGCTGTGGATGGTGGATCCGTTTACATTTTCAAGACGGAGTTAGATAGATATTTGTTAGGTCAGGGTATTAAGGAATATGGGGCAAAGGCAGGTAACTGGACTTGAAGTACAGATTAGGCATGATCTTCTAAAATAGTGGAGCAAGCTCGAGGAGCTGAATAGCCTATTCCTGTTTTTATGTTTCTATGTTTCCATGTGCTGTAAGATTCTATGATTCACTTCATGGCTGTTTATAGGATTTTGCTGCATGCAAATTGGCTGCCTTGTTCACCTACAAAATACACAGTCACTACACATTACAGTGAAATCCTGCGAAGGATTTTGCGACGTTTCTCCCAATGTGAAAGATGCTGTATCAAATCCAGGGTTTATAATAATAATAAAAAAAACTAATCCTTGCATTTGATATTATGTCGCTGAAGCATCTCAAAGCGCTTCACAGAATATATTGTAAAGGGAAGTGACTGAGTATTTGTGGGCGAAAATTATGATGATATAAAAAAAATTAAATTTTCTTTTGTGCCTAATGCGGTGTTTAATGCCTTTCACACGTTTCAGGAAAGAAACCCGGGGATTCGGGGGGAGCTGAGTCGGGATACAAAGCCAGCAATATCGTGACGATCACAGGCATTTTCCTGTGTTTGGTGATAATCATCGGCACGGTGGCTATTGCGATACGCACAAAGCTGTCGTGCAAGGAGGAGAAGTGCAACCTTGGAGGGAGACGGGGTTCACTTCAAACTCACAACCTCAGCGAGGACCCCGGAGATGACAGGATACTCGGCAACTCAAACCGGCGGGTCGAAGACGGCACGATCATACCTTTGAGCTGCAGAAGGAGCCAGCAATTTGTTTCGACGACAACAACTTGCCTTTACCTAGCACCCGTCACTGCAGGTCACGTCCCAGAGAAGGTCTCGAGCCAGGACGGGTTGTCGGAGGAAGGGTTGCCCAGCGCCCAGAGGGTGGTACCTCCTATATTCGGGTACCGCCTGGCACATCAGCAGCTGAAGGAAATGAAGAAGAAAGGGATAACCGAGGCCACGCACGTTTACCACGTCACCCAGCGTGATGAAGAGGCCGAGGCAGAGACGGACCGCGGTGTTGCCACAGTACCCGCCCTAGAGAAAGAGAGCAACATGGAAAACAGTGTGAATCGATTCCGAATCCAAGCTCCCTTTTTGGATCAGAAGCAGTCGATGCCCTGCAAAGCGCAGGTGGAGAGAGCGAACCACTGGACAGATTTTGAACTGGCTCAGTTCGGCGATCGGGGCAGCGAGCGCTACCTGCACCGAGCCGTGGCTCAGACCCTGTGCCGGGCAGCCGCAGCACAGTGCAGGCAAGGGCAGTGTGAGGGGGGCATAGGAGGAGGGCACAGCCGGAGAACGTGCAGCTTCAGTGAATACAAAGGCGGCAAGTACTACAGGGAGAGGAGCAGATCTGCCGGCACATCCAAGTTGCAGTCCTCATATCACTCCAGAGCAGCTTACAGGACTGGGAGCAGTATGGACAGATGCAATGGCAGTGCCTTCCCTCCTCCTCCTCTTCCTCCGCCCAGATCAGGCCACACCACAACCTCAGCAAAGCCTCCCGGCTGGAGCTATAGTGGATCAGCCAACCTCAAGCACCACCCGAAAAGCAGGTCCGGGAAAGCTGAACAGCTGAGGGAAGAGACGATAACTGGTGCAGTTAATCACATGGAGCTCTCCCCAAGCAAACCGAGATCAGGTCCAACCAACCGATATCACTCACCCACGTCCCTCAGCGATCCCAGCAGCGCTGAGAAATATTACAACTGGAAATATCCATGGAGCAACCCTTTGCCCCGCCATCATTACAGACAAGAACGCTGTCAAAGCTTCCCCTCTGCTCCCAGCTTTCTTCCCTATGACAATTCTGGCTTTGACCTCTCTGCTTTGGACCAGCGGGTGACTGATGTGGCTGGCTACTTTGATCTGCACGTGAAGGAGGGTGAAGGAGACACCACTACTCTAAGCAATGAAAAGTTGGTAGTCTAACTCGAGGAAAACATTTTTGGAGTTTTTCTACATCTTTCCAAGCCTTCAAAGCCCTCCATAGCCTTGCGAACTCCATATAAACCTGACCGCTCCCTCCATTCAGCGGGCTCCAGCCTGCCCCATGTCCCCTGCCCGGCCCACCCCACCATCTGCAATTGGGCCTTCAGCCTCTCTGCCCCCACCCTTTGGAACTCCATCCCACAGTCCCTTCACCTCGCACCCTCTCTTTCCTCATTGAAGGCACGTCTCAAGACCCTTCTCTTTGACCACACCTTTGGTCACCCTCCTATCCCTACCCTCCCTGGCCTCCACCCTCCTGATTCCAACCCCCAGCTCGGGTCCAAATTTCTGACTGTCCAGCGCCTTGGGACGTCCTCCCAACATGAAAGGTATTATACAAATGTAATTTGTTGTTGTTGTTGAGTTTCACGGTGCATTTAACATTTACCACATGGGACAGGCTAGACTCAAACCTCCACCTTCTTCCCCTCTACCCTCAACACCATTCTCAATGGTGAAGTCAAAAAGCCAGGCGAAACTAAGCTTTACTGAGGAAAATAATCCGCTTAAAAATATACATATAATTTGCTCACTCAATCCACGACTGTTTAGAGGTCACTGCTGTGCGCAATTGGGTACCACGTTTCGCCCACAAAATATACAGTCAATTCACTTCACAGTATATTCTGTGAAGAGTTTTGAGACGTCTAGAAGACGTGATGAGGCACTATGTACGTGCAAAGATTATTATTATTATATCAAGCTAACCGGCAGCCAAAAGCCATGATCCGTAAGCCAGAAGTCCAATACTACAGTAAATCAGCCTGGCTCAGTTGGTAGCACTCTTGCCTTTGAGTCAGAATCTATGGGTTCAGGTCCCATGTTGGGACATTGATTAGTTGAGGTTGACATTTAGATGCGCTGAATTGTCAAAGGTACCATCCATTGGATGAGATGTTAATCTGAGGTCCCGTTTGCCTGTTCAAGTGAATGTTTAAGATCCTATGAGACTATTTGAAATGAGAAGGGCATTTCTCCCTATGTCCTAGCCAACAATCCCCAAAATAAAATTGGTCACACACTTCATGGCTGTTTGTGGGCGCATTTCTGCGCGCAGATAGACAGAAAGACGGCACCTCCAACAATGCAGCATGCCCCCAGCACTTCATTGGAATGTCAAGTTAGACCATATGAGGTCCAGGTGCTGACATGGGCTTGAACCCACAATCTCCTGACTCAGAGGCAAGTTACCAATTGAGCCAGGCTGACACACAAATACAGTGAATACAAATACAGTACAAATACTATTCAAACCAGATGTATTCAAGGCTGAATACAAATAAAGTAGAGCCTCATTATAACACACTGTGTTTAGGATCCATAAAATCCCAATAGCGAGATAATGAGATTGAATGTCCCTGAGCATAATTGACGCAATAGGGAACTACTGCCAGTTTCCATGGTAAAAGAAAAAGTGGCCAACTTCTGGATTGTAAGGTAATCACAACATTACTTCCTTTTTCATGCACACAACAGAAGGTGATATTGGGGGTTGATGACTTGAAAAGTCGCCCTTCTTTGTCTGTGAGGAAACTAAAATTGTTGACTTCTGGGGTCACAGGGTCCCAATGAACATCACTTCCTGCTTTGTTGCGCATGATCAAAGCAGGAACCAATGTTGATAGCAACAAAATGAGCCAGAAGTTCGCTGTTTTACTGCAAAACATAGGACGGCATACTGGAGATGAGCAGCCTGGCTGCACGCATGCACAAGTCCAAAATATAATTGCATTATAAGCAGATTCACAATGTATTTAATCACATTATAATGGGAATGTACTGTGGTTGGAAGCTGGTTAGTCCAGTGAGGAATGTACTCCATCGTGCATTATTGGCCTTAACTGGTCACTCTGGGTCAGACGACAATTATTATATTTGTTGTTCCCCATTAAAGCAGAAGGTGAATGTTGAATATCCGCACATATTTGCATACTCAGAGCTCAAAATGTCTCTCTTTCTTAGTCTTGAAGTTTACGATCGATGCTAAATTTTCAAACACAGTCTTAAAGCCAATTCTACACGTGGCAACAACAACAAAGTACATTTGTATAGTACCTTTCATGTCCCAAGACACTAGAGTGCTGCAAAAAATTAGCTTCTAAATTAAGGCTGCATTCAAGACTATTTCCAAAATCCCAGGCATTATCAAAGTGTAAGATGACGGTTTTAAGCCTAAGAACATGAGGGAATTCCTGTGCTTATGGAATACATTTATGGCTTTCAAATACTGTATGTATTTAAGCAACAAAAAATAGTCCCATGTGACTTTCACTGAATAATGAATTTTAAGCTGTAATGTTTTCACAAATACATGCAATATTTGTTTAATTTGTGACCTCCGCTGACATTGGGATGAAGGACATGGCCTCTAACCTTCGAACTGTAATCATACCCACCAGACCACTAACAGCAACTTTTATTATTTATAATAATAATCCTTGTATTTTGTATTGTGGCTTTCATGCCAAGAGAACATCACAAAGCTCTTTACAGAATTTACTGTGAAGTGGGGAGACTGTGTATTTGTGGGTGAATTCGGTAGCCCAATTGTGCAGAGCAATGTCCCACAAACAGCCATGAATCGAATGACCAATTTTTTTTTTTGATTTTGGGGTGATTATTGGCCAGGAAACCGGGAGAAACTCTCTTCTATTAAAACTAAATTGAAACTAAATCTCAGAATTCTCCAAAGCAGATTTACAAGTTAAGACTAAGTGGAATTGCAGGCCTTGAGTGTGGAGCACAGATGTTGACTAACTGAGGTGAGGAAGAGTGGGAGGATACTTATATGGTTACATTCTTGGGTTCCTCTGGAGGGACAATTACATATTCCACGAATGTAGCCATGACATACAACAACTTGCATTTATACGGGGAGTGTCCCAGAGCACTTGAAATACTGGACCCCATTCCTGGAACCCAAGTACACCGCAGGGATGTGACAGGGCTAGAAAGCTCATTCATATTTCTGAACCTGCTCCTTGCAATCACTGTATTGCGATTCTTAAAAGGATCAAATAAATAACTGGCATCATGTGGGGCCCAAACCCTTACCAATGTATTTTGTGATAATCTCTGATGTATGGGAAGCTTGTTGAGATCCCTCGGCTCCACCCGAAGAACATTTCATGGCTACTAAACAAATTTACCTTTATAGAGTGCTTTTCACGTTGAGAGGACGTCTAAAGAGCTTCACAGAATCAGCCAGGACCTGTTTGCCTGGTTAATGCACTGCCAAACTGGGCTGCCTTATTTCTCTGTGCCTTCGGAGCTAACAAATAAAATAAAAATAATAATGCTTTCAATTGTGAATAGCGCCTTACCGCATGTGGAACACAATGCAAAGTGTTTCACAGGATTCACAATTTTATTTTGTGGCATTATTAGGTCACAGCACTGGGAGAAACTCCTTTCTGTTTTTGAATAGTCCATCTGGAATGCCAATGGGACCTAAGTTTAAGGTTTTCTCTGAAAAACAGCACCTCCAGCAATTTAATGCTTCCCCAGCATTGTATTAGAGTGTCACCCTAGGCTGTATGACTTCTAAAGCCTGATTTGGGGCTTAAACCCACAACCTTTTGCCTCAGAGGCAAGAGTGCTACCAACTGAGCCAGGCTGACACACAAATGTACTTGCTGGGTGCTGTGTTTGAGGCAGGATCCATATGGTTTTGAAAAGAGAACTAGATAGATATCTGAAAAACATTATTTTGCAGGGTTATGAGGCAAAGGGAGCTAAATAGGACTGAATGGATTGCTCTTCCACAGACACTATGGGCTGAGTGGCTTTCTTCTGTGCTGTAAACCTATCTCATTCTATGGTACTGTATAAATAACAAGGACCCTTTGGCTCATCTGATCTCCCAAATGAAGGCCCTAATTCAATGCTCTCACCTTCGTTCCTCTTTACATTTCCTTTCCTTTCCCAAGGGGATCAGACAATGCTGTTTAATACACCAACTTTGTTATGGAACTAATAGTCCTTCAGACAGTGTGTTTAGTATGATAACAAAATGACACAGGTCCTATTTATTCTGGTTAACTCAGTCATACTTTCTTTGGCCTTGGAATATTGAACACGGTGAATTTGTACAGTGGGTTTGTTCTATTATTTCTGTAGTTTCTTTTTAAGATTATACTGTTTTCTACGTATTCTTGTTTAATAAAAAGAAATTGAAAATAAAAATGTGCCAACGTCGAAAGGTTCAAGGTTGCGTGATTCTGATTGTGTGTGTTGTGTGTGAGTAGTATGTATGTGAGCAAATAGGAACATATGTGAGTGTGCATGTTTGCGTAGGTGTGTGTTTGTGACAATAATAATCTTTATATTTGATATAGCATCTTTTACATGTGGAGGATTCTCAAAGCGCTTCACTGGATATACTGTAAATTGTAATGTCTGTGTATGTCATGAATGAATTCAGCAGCAATTTGCTCACAGCAATGCCCTACAAACAGTCATGAAGTGAATGACTAATATTATTATGGGATTGTTGGCCAGGACACTGGGAGAAACTCATTTCTCTTGTCGAGCAGTGCAATGGGATCTTAATGTCTGTCTGAACAACAACAATTTTCATTTATATAATGCCCTTCACGTGGGGTAGCATCCCGGAGCGCTTAGACGGGTGGATAGCACCTGGATTTAATGTGTCATCCGAAGCACGGCATATCTGACAATGCAGCGCTTCTTAAACTGTGAATTGAAAGTCCCGACATGGGGCTAGAACACACAACCTTCTGACTCGGGTGAGTGTGCTACCAACTGAGCCAGGCCGACACCTTCACTGCAATTTTATATAAATAATGTGACGTTAGACACGTGAAATTAAATGACACACTTAAATTGATAATATTTTTTTCTTTGTATTTGAGGGAGTTTTGTCAGAGTAAATAGGAACAAGTTATTACCATTGATAGGAGACATAGTTATGATGATAAAAATATAACAATAATAATCCTTGCATTTGATACAGCGCCTTATCACGACTTTGAGATGCCTCAAAGGGCTTCACAGAATATACTGTAAGGTGAATTGACTGTATAGTTTGTGGGCGAAACCCAGCAGCCAATTTTGCACAAGGTAACCACAGGAACAGGAAGCCTTTTTTCACACAGATAGCTATTGGGATGTGGAATTCGCTGCCAAGTAGATTGGTGGAGATGGAATCCATTGCAGCTTTCAAGGGGGAAGTAGACAGGAGTGTGGAAGAGAGGGGCTTGAGGATAAGGTGGGACGTTGGGATTGAATTGACCTCCTCACTCTATGAACTGCTGCAGAGTTGATGGGCCGAATGGCCTCCTTCTGTGCTGTGATTTCTGTTTCTATGTTTGCATGCAATGAGATTTTATACTCCTTTTTCTCACAGTTAGTTTTGCAAAAATACTTTTCCAATGATTCAGGTGATGCAATTTGATTATTATATGCAATCCATTTTGAAAACAAAAGTTATATTCAACTGGAAATTTTTATTGAATTTGACATCAAAATACACTTGAAAGCTTGAACATTTAGTACAGAATTCTAATAGTCACATTTCTGCAAATTAAGATTATATGTATCTATATCCATAGTAATAATTCTTGCATTTGATATATATATATATACACACACACTCTTGGGTGCAAAATAGCGGCTGCAAGTCAGCTACAAAAATACACAAGTCACGACACTTTGCAGTAAATCTTCTGAAGAGCTTTGAGAAGTCCTCCTGATGTGCAAGGTGCTATATCAAATGGAAGAAATTTAGGAGAAATCTTGTGTGTCATTCTCGTTTCCAAGTGTTATTTCCCTATCCTATTATTGTATAGTACCTTATCGCATCGTCAAAACGTCTTAAAGCACTTCACAGGATTTTTAATGTGATGTGCAGTGGGAGTGTACGTCTGCTTGCCTGTCAGACATCATCAACAACAACAACAAATTACATTTGTATAGTGCCCTTGTTACATCTGATATAATAACAACAACCACAACAACAACTTACATTTATATAGCGCCCCTCATGCAGGGTAGCGTCCCAAAGCGCTTGACAGTGGCAGAGAGCAACGCCAAGCTGGGGGGAGGGGGAGGTGACGATAGGCACTATCAAATAGGAAGGTCTTCAGGTGCGACCTGAAGATGGGGAAGGAAGGTGCAACGCAGAGGGATAGAGAGAGGAAGAGTGTTCCAGAGTTTTGGGGCATGGTGGCTAAAAACCTAGCCACCAATGATGGGGGCCAAGAATGGAGCTGTGAGGTACACTACATGTGACTGGGTAGGGGCAGGAGGAGATACCATTTGAGGAGATAAAGTGAAGGCGGTTTGTTAAGGACTCAAACCAGGCTAGTGCGGTCCCACTCAGTGTTGAATAAGACTGGAGAGGCGGTGGAGGAGGATGGCATGGTCGACTGTGTTGAATCTGGAGGAGAGATCCAGGAAGACAAGGAGGCAGAGTGAGTCCTGGTCACAGCTAAAAAGTACATTGTGACCTTGACAAGCGCCATCTCTGTGTTATGGGCAGGGTGGAAACCAGACTGGAGGAGCTCGAGGAGGAAGTGGAGGGAGAGATGAGAGCAAAGCTGGTTAGTGACAACACATTCCAGAGCTTTGGCAAGGAAGGGCAAGTTGGAAATGGTCAGTACTTTATGAGGTTGGAGGAGTCAAGGGCAGGTTGGAGGGGTCAAGAGGAACAGAACTTGAGGAGAGCAACTGGTTGACTATGTCAGCCAGCAGAGGGGAGAGGAGGGGGAGTTGGGTGATCAGCAACTGGGTGGGGACTTAGTCAAGGCATCAGGTGGTGGGTTTCATCTGGGAGATGGTGGTTGAGAGAGAGGTGGGAGTAATTGAGGCAAAGGAGTATAGGGGGGATGGGGTGGTAGTAGGAGTCATTTTAGGAGGTGGTGTAGATGGTCTGGGGGTGTGGAAGGGGACGAAGGGGAGGGCGATGCAGCCAAGTGAATATTTTTAATCTTTGACACAAAGTATTGGACCTCTTCGCACTTGGCATTTGAGGTGAGGATGGAGGCAACTTGGGGAAGAGTGTGGAGAAGGTGATGGATGATGGAGAACTTTGGGCCTGTGAGAGGGAAAGCCGTTAGTTGCGGAATAATAATAATCCTCGCATTTGATTTAGTGCCTTATCCCATCATTGAGACGTTTCAAAGCGTTTCATAGGAAAGTGGATTGACTGTGTATTCATGATTAGACAAACATTATTAATGATTAGATATAAAACAATAATCTTCTTCTCCTACCTGAATACAATAAAAGAATACAATTTACATTTACATAGCACGTTTCGAAGTGCTTTACAGAGCTGTCTGGGAGCCTGATCTGGGGATGAAGGGAAGCTGAGGAAGGAGGCAGGCGGAGAGGGGAAAAGTTGCCCAAAAGTACAAAGAGGTACGTTATGAGGCAGACTTTTTCAAGTGGGGAGTAAGGTGTTGGGGGTTGGTGCGAGTCAGAGGGAGTTGAGAGCAGAGAGCAGAGGTGGAATGGCTAAGCGCTTTGAGACACTGCCCTGTGTGGAGGAAGCCGTTGTTGTTATTGTTGTTGGTTGAAAGCTTGCCCACTGATGGTGGGAGGGTGATGGATGAAGCAGGCTGGCTGGCATTCGCTGAGCGAAGGGTCAATAAGGTTATAGGAGGTCGCAGAGTTAAGTGTGGGGCGTGGCCATGGAGGGATTTGAAGGGGAACATAATAAAACTGACCATAATTTTATTTTGCCCGTTCCCAAGAACCGGTGCTGTTCCTGCTCGAGAGAACCCTACCAGACACTGTTTTCATAATCTCCACTTCCAACACCTGGGAAAAAGTACTGAGGCCGCACCTTCATGGCTGTGAATTTCAGGGAATACCACCATCCTGTCCACGTGTGCCATATGATGCCTTTGTCCGTGTTTCCCGTGTAATTGCCATGGCGATAATATTTTCCATTCAGGTTGACGGTGTGGCACCTTCATTATTTTGGGGGTAAAATTAAACAGAGATGATTAAATAAGCAAATTCATTGAGAGGGGTTCAGATGAAAAAGGCACCTCTGGTAACGCGATGCTCCCCGGAGCATTGTATTGGAATGTCAGCCCAGACCATGAGTTCAAAGTCTTGACGTGGGGCTGGAACTCACAACCTTCTGACCCAGAGATAAGAGCGCTACCCTCTGAACTAACTTAACGCTTCTAAACCCACTGTGGTAAACAACACTAACTACACAGGATTGTAAAGTGCAATATAGTGAATTTTCATTCCTCTTTTAAAATGGGAAGAGCATTTTAAAAGGGGAATTTCTCTCTTTTGTAACGTGGAATGTGTGTGTGTTTGCGTGTATGTAAAAGAGAGTGTGTGTATATGTGTATGCACTAAATGTGTGTAAGAGGGTGTGTCTTTGTATTAAAGTGTGTAAAAGATGCTGCATGTATGTACTAACATGTGAGTAGGGGATGTGTATACCTTAAGATGTGTGTATGCATGTTTGTGTGTGTGTAAAGCATGTGCGTTTGTGTATGTATTGAAATACGTGTAAGAGATTGCATGTGTATCTATTAAGAGTTCCACATATTTATGCCACCTACATATGGAAATGGCCCCTTGTCTGGAATGGAATGAACTCTCTCTCCCTGGAGTGATGCACCCTGCTTACCCAATTCCGGAAATTATTAGGTAGAGGTTGTCGAGAGCAAAGACATTTAACCAGCTAACCATTCTGACACTCTGTTGCCAACTCAGCCCCAATTAGATGGAGCTTCATCTATTCACTTGGATCTCATAATAACTGTAATAATAATAATAATAATAATAATAATAATAATAATAATCCCTGCATTCTACTTTGTGTGTTTTCACATTAAGGATCGGTTCAGTTCCACCTGAAATAGGACCAGGTGACCCTTCCCATAGACAGCGAAAATTCATTGTAAAGATATTAATCGAAAGATCACATTTTGCCAATGGATGTATGGTAGAAATCCTTCCCCCTGCGTTGTCTATCTTATACACACAAAAGTTCTCAAAAATATATTGTAATTCTCTACCTGTTAAACCACCAGCCGCTATCATTTTCTTTAGCGCAGTTGCCTTGAAAGAATCTGTCGTGGTCTTGATCTGATGTAGTGAACTGCATCCCATTGTGACCGCCCGACCACACTAACTGTGGCTCTGAGCCACCAGACAAGGCGTCCCCTGCAGTTCCACTATAGGATCCGAATTCAAGCCTATATCCATCCTGGTTTGAAGCAACAAAACATTCAGCAATATAAGAATAAGATCCAGCCAAACCCTGCTCTCCACCATCCGTGGCCATGTCTTGAAACCCTACGCCCTGAACCTCGGGCTTGTTAAGATCTGGTGTAAGCTGATTCAACAGTAGATTTCAAAAGGGAATTGGATAGTAACTTGAAAAGGAAACATTTGCTGGGCTATGGGGTAAGAATGGGGAAGTGGGGCTAGTTGATAGCTCTTTAAAAGAGCCAGCACAGGCACGATTGGCCGAATAACCTCCTTCTGTGCTGTAAGATACTATGATTCTATGATACGCCCGAAATCCCTGGAACTCCCTGCCTTAATCCCTCCGCCTCGCCCCCTATTTACCTGCCTTTAAATCACACCTAAATACTTTCCTCTTTGACAGTGCCTACAGTCACTTTCTCTCTCTCCCTGACTTGAGGTCAAATTCCACCATTGTTCAACACTCTAAGATGCTACCCTGTGTGTAGCCCCTATATAACTATATAAAGGCAAGTTGTTATAGCTCCATTGGCAATGTAAGGGAGCAATGAATAAGTATATACACTATATACTTCTCACCTTTTCATTGGAAACCCTGACATTTTCATATGTCGCATATCTCTTTTCTCCATTCCAATCGACAAGGTCTATCTTCAGTAAATATTTTCCTGTAACAAAACACTTAATCATTTACATGCTTCAACTATGAATAGTTATGGGAGCAGCATATATAATTGTTTGCAATCCAACACCCGCAATACACTAAATGATAGTTCAGCATTTGAAAGAAAGAGTATAGCCTTACCGTTAGCTAGAATGTGGTAGATATTGTCATTCCCCAGCCAGTATTCATCCTTCTTCCCTTGAAACAATCCAAATCCAGATTTGTAGTCATCCCATCCTCTGAAATTAAGGGCAACAAACAGTACGTTTAATATGGCCAAAGGGAACATCCTAAGTGCAAATATTAGGTGTTTTACCTAGTTCTTTAGGTGTGGGGACTTGTGACCAATACTGTTCATAGCCATCTATGTGGGCCAGTAGTGTGCATGTGTGTTATTCAAGTTTATCACACATACAAAATACACAGTCAATCCACTTTACAGTACATTCTGTGAAGTGCTTTGAAAAGTCTCAACGGTAATAAGGCACTATATCAAATGCAAGGATTATTATTATACAGAAAAATAAATCATGCTGGTCTAATAGTATAAATAACATTGTGCAGCATCAAATCGCTTTGGTGTCTGACACGTTTTTATGATTGCACCATTTATACATGAACACAATGGGAACTGTCGAAACCTTATTTCAGAACTGCTCTATTATAGACCAGCATAATTTATTTTTCTCATGTCATTGAGACTTCTCAAAGCGCTTCACAGAATATATTGTAAAGTGGATTGATTGTTTATTTCGTGGGCAAAACGCAGCAGCCCATTGTACATAGCAGTGCGAGACTGCACTTTCAGACCTTTTTTCCACCTACCAGCTGCTTGGGCTCTCAGATAACTATACAAAGTACTTTGAGACATCCTCCCGATGTAAAAGAAACTATGTAAATGTAAATTGTTGTTGCTGTTAGAAGCAGATTATGTCAAGAACAGAATTAGATAGCTACAGTATTTGGTGAAGAATCCAATTGATAATACAGTATCATGTAGGATTATTAAACTAATAAACAATAACACTCGTTGCATTTGTTATAGCATCTATAATGTCGATAACATCTCAAAGCACTGCACAGAATTTTACTGTAAAGTATAGTGTCTGGCAATTGTCAATTTGTCAAGCAGTCAATTTGCACACAGCAGTGTCCCACAAACAGTCATGAGGTGAATGATTAATATTATCTGGGAGATTGTTGGCTAGGACACCGGGAGAAACTCCCTTCTCTTTTTGGATACAGTAGTTTCATGGGATCTTTAATATCCACCTGAACAGGAAGACTGGACCTTGGTTTCATATCTCGTCTGAAGGACGGCACCTCCAACAATGCATTGCACTCCCAGCACTATGTCAGAATATCAGCACAGACTTTGAGTTCAAAGACCCGACGTGGGGCTTGAACCCACAACTTTCTGACTCAGAGGCGAGAATGCTACCAACTGAGCCAGGCTAACACTAAATAGTAATAATAATAATCCTTGCATTTGATATAGCACCTCATCACATCTTCGAGACGTCTCAAAGCGCTTCACAGAATATACTGTAAAGTGTATATTTTGTGGGCAAAATGCGGCAGCCAAACAACTGGGATCCTACTTACTGCTAGGTAATCAGAGGTGTGTGGAGTAAGGAAACTTTCCCAACGTTTCGCCCTGTCAGGAATCGAACCCAGGTCTCTCGCTTGTCAAGGCGAGTGCTCTAACCACTGAGATACAGGACTACAGTAGAATAGAGATATAAGTTGTGTGACCATAAAATTCACTAAGACAAGGACTCAGCAGGTCCAATACTCACCTAGTTGACTTACCTGTTAAAATAGACTTTCCCATTACTGCGGCGTTGAATGACTGTCCATCCACCACCCTCTGACATATCACAGTATGTAAGAAAAGGTTCAACGATAGCTTTTGGTTGAATTCTGTAATACCCACTTGTGGTTTCCCCACTATTGTAAACCTCAGAACAATCTGCAACAAGTTAAATGTGTAGTGAGTAAAACTGGACCATAACGCCACGTGTTTCCTCGAACAGACTGTACATGAAAGATTAATATTCTAGTTTTGCTGATAGTGTAGGAGAAGAGGTATTAATGTTGTCCAATCACTGGTATCCATGTACTTGTGGAGTCCTGTAGCTGTAGCTACAAAATCCACAGTCACTTAACAGTACATCGTGTGAAGCGCTTTGAGATGGTTTCCTGACATGAAAGGCGCTACATCAAACAGAAGGATTATTATTTCTTTATTAGAATTCAGCGCAGGGAAAGTAATAATAATAATAATAATCCTTGCATTTGATATAGCGCTTTTCACGTCTTCTCGAGGAGTCCATGTGTGTGGAGTCCTGTAGCTCAGTGGTTAGAGCACTCGCTTTGCAAGCGAGACACCTGAGTTCAATTCCAGGCAGGGCGAAACCTTGGGCAAGTTTCCTTACTCCACACAGAGCCTAATAATAATCCCTCCAAAACAAAAACAATAATAAATTGGTCATTTTCAATCCATGACTGTGTGTGGGACACTGCTTTACGCAATTGGCTGCCGTGTTTCGCCCACAGTCGGTTCTGTAAAGCACTTTGAGAAGTCGAGAAGACGTGAAAAGCGCTATATCAAATACAAGGGTATTATTATTATTATTATTACTTTCCCTGCGCTGAATTCTAATAAAGAAATAATAATCCTTCTATTTGATGTAGCGCCTTTCATGTCAGGAAATCATCTCAAAGCGCTTCACACGATGTACTGTTAAGTGACTGTGGATTTTGTAGGTGAACGCAGCAGCCAATTTGCACATAGCAATACAACAACAACAACAAAATTCCATTTATATAGCATCGGGAAGACGTCCCAAGGCACTGGACAGTCAGTGTTTCAGGGATTGGGGTTGGTGGAGGGCAGGGGGGGAAGGAGGGTGATTGAAAGCACGGTCAAAGAGGAGGGTCTTGAGATAGATTTTGAAGGAGGCAAGGGAGGGGGTGAGGTGGTATTGTGGGATGGAGTTCCAGCGGGTCGGGGCAGAGTGGCAGAAGGCCCGTCTGCAATGCCTCACAAACAATTTTATTTGGGGGGTTGTTGGCCAGGACGTTCCCTTCTCTTTTCGAATAGTCTCGGGATCTTCAACATCCACCTGAACAGGCAAATGGGAAAGAAAAGGCAGGCTGTTGGGGCTGAATTGATCTTCTTTGTTTTTGTGAGCTAGTGGGGATTCTATGGGACTTGATGGGCTGAATGGCCTCCACCCCAACTGCTAAGGCTTTATGTTGCAGGGTAAACAGGAGCCAAGTGGGAAGAATCCCTGCCTCAGCGATAAAAATCCGTCGATAACATTGTTCACTTTGATTAAAGTACCTTGTTTTGGATACGTACCACGTACAAGGAGATTTTCAGCAGTGGGATGTAATCCTGCCCCGTCCTCTTTCTTTCCTATTTCACTCTTTTCCTTTACCCAGTTTATATGACGTTCTTTGATATCATACAGTCGCCAAGCTCCAAGCAGGAACTGATTCTGTAAGTGTTTCAACTGGCGTTGGAGTTTGTAGACCTCATTCATGCAAATTTCACTGTCCTGAGGAAACAATTCCACAGAAGAATGTAATCCTGGAGCATGTTTTATTTGCGCATTTGTCGTTCATTTGGTAAGTTCTTACTGTGAGTGTCTTATGAACCACATTTTAAAAAATCAACCAATTAATAAAAAATGTACTACCATTCCATAACTCATAAACATATGTCAGAAGTCACAGTCCTCAAAGATACATATATTTACATAGACTATACAGCATGTAATGTGTGCCCATGTTTGTATCCCACATGAGTCTCCTTAAGAACTCCAAAATGCTACCCTGCATAAAGGGTGCTATATAAATACAACTTGTTGTTGTTACTCTCTCCCATTCTTTTCTATCCCTCATGTGTATATCTAGCTTCCTCTTAAATGTATCTATACTACTTGTTTCAACCATCGTTTCAGACAGCATTCTCATGATCTTCTACGTGAAGAAGTTTTCCCTAAATTCTCTTTTAGATTCTCAAGTCACTATCTTGTGCTTTTGTCTCCTGGTTACGGACTTCAGACCTTAGCAAATGATACTTGCAAATCCAGAAAGGTGGGAGTTTGAATCCCATGCTTAAGGGCATTAATAATATAATGTATACATCGTCATCTTCCTAATCCCCACCCACCCTGTCCTCCGCCCCTCCTGATCGCAACCCGTAGCTCGGGTGCAAATCCTTGGACCGTCCAGCGCTTTAGGATGTCGTCCCGACGTGAAAGTGTAATTTGTTGTTGTTGTTTTTGTTGTTGAAGGTGGGGAAGAGAGAATGGTATTATCAAGATGAATGATCTCAGAACTAATGAAATGTTTTTTGACTTAAGATCCCATTGTCAGGGCAGTCCCAATGGTGTCGTGGATAGAGTTGCAACTTATGGTCCAGGAACCTGGTTCAAATCCCAATCTGTGCTGAGTTTGCTGATCTCCATCAGGGCTGCATCAGGGGATTAAATTGGCGCTAGCCAATTCTCTAGGGTTAGAGAGGGAAAAGCCAGCCAAATTCCTGGTCTCTCTTTAGTACCCTCTACTTGTGTGAGTGTGTGATAATGGACAATACAACAACAACTTGCATTTATATAGCTCCCTTCACACGAGGCTGCGTCTCGGAGAGCTTAACACAATATACAGCAACTTTCATGTCGGGAGGACAACACCAACTCACACTTATATTGCGCCCTTCACGCGGGGTAGCATCCTGGAACACTTCACAGTGATGGAGTTTGACGACGAGCCAAGGGGAGAGGGAGGGGGCGAGGTGACCTTCATTACGATCAAAAAGGAAGGTGTTTAGGCGGGATTTGAATGTGGGCAGGGAGGGGCAAGGACATCACAAAGTGCTTGAACAATTGTGACTGGGCACTGGAGCTGAGGATGGGAGCTGACGGGACGTGAGGAGGGGAAAGCAGGATCAAAGAGGTAATCTTTGAGACATACCTTGAGAGAGGGGAGGGTCGGAGTAAGTCAGAGGGATCTGGGAATGAAGTAACTAACTGAATAGGTTCTATAGGTTAATAACTGGAGCAGCACATAATTTGGTGATCTAAATATAACAATCTCAAGAAACAGTGCAAGATTTGTGAAATGGAAATCCAAACTATACAGTTGCTGGCGTCACTGAACTAACCATTTCATAACTTGGTTAGGATGCTCACATCAACCTTGATATGGAGTGTTAATGTAAATCGGCATTGGGGCCTTATTTCAGTGAATCAAAGCCCCTTTATAGAAGTGGCATTTACGTGTTTGAACAAACGTGTTTAAAGAAATGGAAATTCTGGTGATTTACGTACCAAACGGTGGGATGCTAAGCTTTGATCCAAGAAAAGCAGAAAAATCAGAAGCTTCATGGCCGGTAATCTGTAAAACAGATATTATTTTAATTTTACAAAGCAGCAAGATACATGACAGGAGGTACTCAACCTAATTTTTCATCACTCTCGTTTTCTCTCTATTATTTATGGTAATATATTCCTATACAATTTTAGTTGGGTGAACTTTAGATATATCCAATAGAGACTATGGGGTCACCCTCGCCTTGGCTCTCAGCAATCTGCGTTTAATACTCTCCGGAATTACTGTCCAGCAAGCTTTCCCGCTGCTTGTGCAGCTCGGACCACCCTACCCGTTAGGGCTTTGGCTTGCGGGGTTAATAAGAGCTGAGTGGATGACTCCCTGCTCCCCAGTGACTGATCTGCCCTTCCAGGTCTTGCCAATGAGCCAGGCTGACTGTGCTATCAGCAGTGCCCTGGAATACTGTAGATTGACTGGCTCTCCGGAATTAGGTAAGCAGGATGTGTCCTTCCAGAGAGAGAGAGTGCATATTCCATTCCAGACACAGGGACATTTTCGTGTGTAAGTGGCAGACATATGTGAAATTCTTGCTCTGGTTTGTATAGTCTTCAATATTGGGGCAGGTTTCTAGAGGCATCAGCCAGTTGGCTGAACAAATCTCTCTCTGTATTTCTTTCTGAAGATGTTCTTATGTATCAACAACAACTGGCAATGTGTGTCAGCCTGGCTCAGTTGGTACCACTCTTGCCCCTGAGGCAGAAGGTGGGGACTTAAACTCACATAGTGTAAGCTGCCAGGAATTGCTTGTGAAGTGCTTTGAGCATTTCAACATGATAAGATGCTATAAAAATACAAACCTGCCGTAGGGTCTTTAACAATTTTAAGCTTATTTCTTGACATAGAGGTTTACAAAGGTTGTACAACACGGACACAGGGCATTTGGACCAACCAGTGCATTTCGGTGTTTATACTCCACCCATTCCTTACTCCTTACTCCCTCCGCACCCTTTTCAAACTGAGAAGTAGCTGTGTATATCTGTGCATATCTCCCTCATGTGTAAATCTAGCTTCCTTTTCAATACATGTATTCAAACACTGCTTTAGCTTTACACGAGCCAAAGTCAGAAAGACTTTCCATCTGTACAAACAATTCCTGTTAATTGCAATTGGAACCCTATGCCAATGCTCTGATGCTTTGAATGTTTTTCATCCAAAGTCAACCGAGTTCTGAAATCACAGATACAACCAAGTTTTAAAACTAGTTATCGATTTTGTTGGAATCAAGCATTGGGAGCAAAAGCTTTGAAAAAAGCAGATAAAGATAACTTTAGTTGAAGGTAATAGGCGTCCTCGATGGGTCAGTCTATATTATCGTACTGTCAGTGTGAAATGGAGCCATACAGACCAGAAATGTCCCACATTCGATTTCCATTCTGAGTTGAGTCAGTTTAACTGGACTGTGGAATTCAATATGATTTGCGTACAAAAATAATCTTAAAGGGTAAATCAATAAAAACTTTGCACTTGATCTAGCACCTTTCAGATTGGGAAAAGGTCTCAAAGTGCTTTACAGGATTTACTGTAGCTTACAATGACTGTATATTTTGAAGGCAGATGTGGCAGCCAATTTGCATACAGCAAAGTCCCACAAACAGCCATGAAGTGAATGACCAATTTAGTTTTGTTATGGAGAAAGAGCAGAGGACTGGCATTGAACAACAACAATTTACATTTATACAGCGCCTTTCATATTTGAGGATATCAAATGCACTTCTGTGCTTCTTAACACAGGATTGGTTTGGGCTGTGATGTGTCCTATGACTGAAGTACTTGCCGGCACTCACTGTGTAAAATGGCCATTTGGTCAGCTGAGTGTCTGATACATACAGAAACCCATCGCCATGCTTAAGAATATACAAATCACACAGAGTTCCACGCATGTATACACTTACACCTGGAGTCCTATAGCTTAATGATTGGAGCACTCACCTCGCAAGTGAGAGGACCTGGGTTCGATTCCCGGCAAAGACGAAACGTTGGGCAAGTTTCCTTACTCTACACATCTCTGATTACCTTGCAGTAAGCAGAAACCTGGTTGTTAATCGATTGGAGGATCGCTTTTCCGGGGGTAATAATCACTCAAAAATAATAATAATTTGGTCAATTCACGAATGTTTGTGGGACACTGCTGTGCACAACTGGCCACAAAATCTACAGTCAATTCACTTCACAATATATTCTGTGAAGTGCTTTGAGACATCTTGAAGATGTGATAAGTCACTATATCAAATGCGAGGATTATTAGTATAATCTGTATCTGGAATGGAATGTACTCTCTCTTCCTGGAGGAACACACCATACTTACTTAATTTCAGAGTATTAGGTGTAGGTTGATGCGAGCTAAGTCTTGAGGACCTCAGAGTGTACATTGAGGTACTGCTGGAGTCTAACCAGCTAAAACCAGCTTGCTATTAAGAACAATATCTGTGAAGCGTCCCACTGCTTGTCCAGCTAGGCACACCTACCCAATAGGGCATAGATTGCAAGGTTAATAGCAGGTGAGTGGGAAGAATCCTTGTCTCCAGCGACAGGTTCACCCCTCCAAGCCCTGACAGTGAGCCAGGCTGGGTGGTCTATCATCAGCAGTGTCCTGGAGTACTGCAGGCCCGACAGGCTCAGGAAGCAGACTTCCGAGACCGCCAGAGACGGCTGACTCGATTCCGACATTCTGTTGCCAAACATGTCAACGGTGGGCCAATTATATAGACTCTACAGCACGGAAACCAGCCATTCGACCCAACTAATTCATGATGGAAAATGAAATATTTTTGGCACTATAAGGAGAGCAATCATTAGGCTGTGAAAAACATGAAACGTGCCATAGAAATAAATGTAAATTGTATGGTAAGAAAAATGTGGCCAAAAAGACAAGCAAAGAGAAATACTCATTCTCTATGAATATGGCAATGCCCTTTGAAAAACAAATTTACGTTCATGTTTTGAGAGAGATCGTCTACAGAATATAGGGTCAGGCACATTTGCAATCATATTACCCAAATTCCAATCTCTGCAGTAACCCACTGGAAGATCAAGTTTTCTGAATGTTGCAAAATGCTATTTTAATATAAAGTATAGTAACTTTCTATTATTTGACTGTAGAGAATACAGTCAGTATCCTACTTCCTTATTATTTGGATCCCATTCAGATAGGGGCATTTTAAATACTGATAAAAAGGATTTGATTCAAAACAAGAAACATAAATAACAAAACTCACCTGAGCTGTGGGAAACTATTAGTAAAACTGCAGATAAATCTCCCGTAACTGCTGCTTATCCTGAAAGATTTGAAGGGGTGAAAGTAGTTCTGTGACCTGTTATTGTTCTGTGTGTGAGAAATCAGATGGTTTACATCAATGTCCCTGGAGCAGATTATTTCATCACATATTGAAATCTTACAGATTGCATCAGGATGATAAACTTTACAAAGTATTCCCTACAGTTGCGCAATCTTAACTGAATGGGGGGAGAAGCTTAAATAGGCTGGATTTAGAACTGGATTTTTACTTCTAATGCTTCCATAGAATGTCTCTCGTATATAAATGTTAATAATAATAATCCTTGCATTTGATATGATGCCTTTTCATGTGGGGAGAACATGTCAAAATGCTTCACAAGTTGTTAATCCTGAATGTAGTGACTGTGAATTTTGTAGGTGGACGAGGCAACAAATTTACACAGAGCATTGTCTTACAAACAGCCACGAACTGAATGGCCAATTTTATCTGGGGGGTTGATAGCCAGGACACCAGAAGAAACTACCTTCCCTTTTCGAACAGTGCCTTGGGATCTCTAACGTATACCTGAACAGGCAGAAAGGAGACCATGGTTTAAGATCATTTGAAGGACAGATTGATTATTGCTAACAGGAGAATTTTCCTATTCCAGGCCCCCTCAAGTACTGTTCTGTAATTGATCACAAGGCGGTGCATAAATGGGGTCCGGGGACTATTATCAGCAGTCAGGCTTTCAGCCATTCGGCCCCCACTCTCTGTAATTCCATCCCAGAGTGGCCCTGAATCTCTCCCGCCCTCCCCTCTTTCACAGCACGTTTCAAAATGTACCTCATTGAAGGAGGTCATCTTTCTCTTCCCATTCCCCCCCCCACCCCACCTTAGCTTCCATCTCCAGCTCAGGTGCCCATCAGCATTGTGAAATCTTTTGACATGAAACGTCCTCCATAAATGTAAATAATAATAATCAATAACCTTATATTCAATAAAGCAACATCACTTCATCAAGACTTCTCAAAGGGCTTCACAGAATTTTACAGTGAAGTGTAACAGCTGTGTATTCTGCAGGCAAACAAACCAATAAAATGTTGCTAATTACGAGGTGATAAGGTGCTATACCAAATGGAAGGATTATTATTATAATTACATAATAAAGGGCGCCTTTAATTTTGTCTGCGCATAAAGGCTTCAAATTGTACAGATCTATATAAATTTGCATTTATATAGCACCTGTCATGCAGGGTAGCTAGCGTCCCAGAGCTCTTGCAAGGATCAAATGCAATATCAAACATGCAAGGATTATTATTATCATTGTTAATTTTCTACAATTTTTGCATTATCTTAAATGTTAAGACAAAAATGGACAAAAACGAGCTCAGACAAGACGGAATTTCTATCCATCGTATCATTTTCTCATAATTGAAGCCGCTATTAATCCCCTCCTGCCTGTTCTGGCTCTCTGTAAGAACCATCTGTTCAGTCCTCTCCTCTGCTTTTCCCCCACAAACCTTTGATATTTTTCCCACGTGCTTCCACATGGTACATAATGGATCCCTCCCTTCCTCTAGAGTAGATACTTCATATCCCCTTGGTGCAATGACCTAGCAACCAGCCAAACTGAGGATGTGAGATACTCTTAATAGCCTGTTATGCCATTATTTGAAACCTCACCATATCCGATACATATCTTTGTATCGTACCATGAATGTATAAATGAGAGAGAAGGGAATAGAGTGGTATAGGATTAGGAAGGGTGGAGGCTTGTTTGGAGTATAAACACTGACCTTGTTGAGCCAAGTGTTTTCATTCTGTAACATTCTATGTCATTTCTATTTCACAAGAATGCCTTTAAGCAAACCAGTTACGACAATCAAAACTATATTAGCAGAGATTTGTCAGCAGAAATATCAGGGGAGAGGTTAGAAGGAATTGTTTCATTCAGTCAGTGGTTAGGGTTTGCGACTCATTCATAGTTCAAAGTGGAATTCTCAGTTTGGTTTGGATAGTCTTAAACATAGTGATGAGTTTCCGCATGTGTCAGACACCTGACTGACTATAAAAATAGAAGAATGCTAATACAGGATGGGTCATTTTCTATACAGAAAATGTCTTTGGTACTTTGTTATCAAAAAATTGAAGTAACTTTCTAACTTTTATAAAATGAATGAATTGTTTATCTTCAGGTTCTGTAAGATAAAATACTTTAAGTCATTTTTTCCACTGAGGGTTTTAAGCACAATGCAGACAGCGATATAAGACACTACATTGTGCTTGTTTGTAACCCAAAACTTTTCTGGCATTCACTTGCTCTGCCATTGACCTATGATGTAAGTTAAGGAGCTGCATAGCATCAATATCTAATTGCCAAAAGCAATCAGTTTCTTGGTCCCTTCCTCCCTTCCTCCCTTCCCCCTTCTCTCCGTCAGGTCCTTCAAAACTGTTTTTGAAAGCTTTATCCTCGGGGGAATGGGGGGGAAGGGGAGGGGGAGGTAAGTAGGGTTTTCTTAAAGCTCAGTTGGCTCCAAGATGACATGCTTAACACCAGAATGTCAGAATCGAGTCAATCCTTTGTCCAGTTCCTGAGCCAGGCTGGTCTGTAGTACTCTAATGTAGGGCACTATTGATGACAGGCTCATATGTGAAGCTTTAATTTAAAAAAAATTGATCTTTTTGGTTAGCTGGGTGTCCGTCACATGCGGAAGTCATCATTCTTAAGAGTATCGGAACCAGACTGATTTCCATGTATAATAATTCTTGCATTTGATATACTTGGCCAACCTACACTTGTGTCTAGAATGTACACACACTCTCTCTCTCTCGCTCGCTCTCTCCAGAATTAGGAGACATTAGACGCAATGTGGCAAATGCTCAAATCATATCTCACTAGAGATGAAATTGACAGAACTCCACTCCTGCACCTTCATCCAAAGCTTTCTGAAACCACCTTTCAGTTTCGGTCAGAAATAAGCCCATTGTCTTCAAATAATATCTAATATAAAACATGGAAACAAACTACAATCAAACCAGAGAGAGAGAAAGAGCGAGAGACTGTGCATTCCATTCAACTCCATGGGAATTTCCATGTGTAGATGAGGTGTACAGATCTCTGTTTGGTTTGGATACTCAAAGCATGGTGATCGGTTTCCACAGGTGCCAGACATCTGGTTGACCAAAAAAAAACAAATTAGGATTGTTATACAAAACAAATTGTTTTGGGAGGGATATTTGTATGTCAGCCTGGCTCAGTGGTAGCTCTCTCACCTCTGAGACTGAAGGTTGTGGGTTCAAGCTCCACACTGGGACTTGGAATCACATAGTCTAAGCTGACACTCCAGTCCTGTGGGTTGAAGGTGCCGTCCTTCGGATGAGACAGTAAACCAAGGTCCCATCTGCCTATTCAGGTGGACCGTAAAGATCCCATGGCACTATTCAAAAAGAGAAAGGAGTTTTTCCCAGTGTCCTGGCTAACAATCCATCAAATAATAATTGGTCACTTACTCCATGGCTGTTTGTTTATCCTCGGGGTTATGGGCGGGGGTAGGTAAGTCGGGTCTCCTTAAAGCTCAGTTGGCTCCAAGCTGACATGCAGTACGGAAAACTGCATTTATACAGCGTCTTTCACTCCAGGAGAACGTCCCAAGGTTCTTAACAGTCTTGGCTTGGCATTGTGGTTTTATGAATTGGCTGCTGTGTTTGACCACAAAATGCGCAGTCAATCTACTTTACTGTATATCCTATGAAGCCCTTTGAGACTTCCTCCCAACATGAAAGGTGCAAGATCAAACGTAAAGTATTATTATTTGTGGATTGCATCACATCAGTGAAGCATGATTCTTTTCCATTCCAAAACAAAAGCATGTGTCTCTGAGCCATTCGCTCATTGAACCATAACAATATTGGCATGATGCACAGAACATAAATTGTTGCATAACTAAAAGCAACACATAACTAACTAATCCACAACAGCGAATGGAAAACAACAGAGAAAGTAAACAGTCTCCACCATGTGCAAAGGAAACAGTTTACCTGCCCAATGAGTTCAGCCAATACCACCCAATAGTGTGCCACCACCCAACGTCAAATATAACCAACCAAATATAGGGTTGCTGCCCCTCTGTTTGGTATATCGGGGAACATTTGTAAAAGGGTCACTAGAAAACTAAACCCTATGTGAAAAAAAAGTTTTGTGCATTTATCTCCACTGTCCCTTTCGTGTCTTAAAAACAAAACCAACAAATTATATTTGTATAGTGCTTTCGCATCGGAAAGACGTCCCAAGGCGCTGGAACCTATTCTCATTCAAAGGCCTGATAACGTTACAGCAGAGCTGAAAAAATGTGCACTAGAACATGAGCTTTCTCAGCTGGATGTCTGAAACATGAGGAAACCCATTGCCACGTATAAGAGTATCCAAACCAGACTGAGAGTTCACATATGTATGCCACCTACACATGGGATTAAAAGATTTGCCAAGACCCAAAAGGAAACTGGCAGAACAGGCTTCGTGGGCTGAACAGTTTCCTAATCTTCCAGTTTTCCTATGTTCCTGAAATGATGGACTCACTGAGATGCATCCGCTGCCACCTAGTGATGATTAATAAACACCGGCGATAGTTCTCAAACCACACTAATTTATTAGAGGCAATGAATGCAAGGACATCCTTGCCTCTATAGATTGCTCTTTGATGGACAACATGAAAAAACACTGATCACAAATTGCCACAGTGAGGCAGCCCAAGTGAGAGGAATTGAAAAAGAATAAGCAAAAGGAGAAAAAGGCTAAATAAGAAAACCCGTGGAGAAAGAATGGAAGAGAAAAACATAAGAGGAAGAAAAGATAAAAAATGAAGAGAAAAAGGAAAAGATCAAAGAGCAGTATGGAATAAATAGGAAGACAATGGGAAGGGAAAACACAGAGAAAGAGGGAAAAACTGAGGAGAGAGGGGTATTGGGGGATTATAGGAAGAGGGGGGAAGAAAAGTGAAAGAGCAGAGCAGAAGAGATTGTATACAGGAGACATGGCAAGAGATTGTATACAGGAGAC